GTCTGTACACTGCAACAGGTGGTGTGTCCCCCTTCCCGCGCTGCGCCTCGCTGCTGTATTTATATGGTTCTGGTTGGTTTCTAAAATTCCACTCGTTCCCCGAACAAGGGTTTGAAATGACGTCGCTGCTGGGTGATTATGCGCGGCGAGGACCGTTTCCTGGGCGGCCAGGGGAGGGGAGCCCCGCGAGTGCCCGCGAGCCGCGGCCCGCCCGCCCAGCAACCCGCGACCACACGCGGGGTTGTGCTTGGTTGTGCCCCTCACATTGACATTGGCGGGCTGATTTGGCAACAGCGGACCGTGTGTCAGGTCAGGGACGGGCCGAGGGGAGCGTGTTGTCCGTGTGCGCAAATCCTTGTAAAGCGCTTACCTGACCGGGGCCCCGCCAGCCAGGCCGCGCCAGCCCGCGCCACAGCCCCCCAGGACCCTCCTGGCCTCCCTAATCCCCCCTATCGGCTCGGGCGGCATAAGCTCCTCGGGGGTCTGGCGCTTCGCTGTAAAAACGAAACCCCTTTTTAGCGGAAGGCGTCCAGTGCGTGACAGTGCAACTAATTCGGCTGAAATTCGTATGGGAACCATACGGAGTGCTACTCATCAGAAATCGAAAAACGAGCCGCATTTTCGTCCGCCCGGCTGGTCGTTTTCCGGGCCAACGGTGGACGTGACGACCGACCCGTCCTGTCCTCCCAGGAAGATAGGTTTTGAACGATTTTCAGGTTGCTAGCGGGTTGCATCTGCTGTGCGCGACGTACATGTTCGACGGCCTGCTGGTTGACCCCGCGTTGGTTCGGGTCCGGAGTGGGCCGCCGTGCCCCGTCGGAGCAAATGCGTAAACTAGCCCGCATGCAGACATGCGGACGGGTTGCCTACTCGCACGACGGCCTCCGTAAGGCGCTATGACTAGAGATGGTAGACAAACCCATCCGCACCCGTGCATTCGCTCTGACGGCGGGGCACTGCGTCCTGTATAGTAGTATAACCACGAGCCAAAGTGCGGGTGGGTTTGCCTCGAACCTTATGGCGCCTTACGAGCCTAGCGAGTAGGCAACCCAAAGTATGGCCTTAATCTGGTCTGGCTATAACTGGATACATCTTCCGAAAACCCCACAGTCCTTTCTTGTCGAACGGCGCGTGCGCTGAGCAACGTGCATCGCTAGTGTGCTGCAGTAGCTAACTTTGTGCAGCTTGCGCTGGGTTCTAGCTATGGGAGCGCCCGCGAGCCAGCAGCCTGGTCGCACCAGACGTTGCACGACACGCACGCCGTGCATGGCAAACGCAGCTTATATAGCAACCTGCAAATCGTTAAACACACATCCTCCTGCAGTTTCTTGTGGAAGAGCCGGTAGGGGCAGGCGAACTGTTCGCGACCGTACGCCGCTGAGACGGAGAGAGGTGCACGAGGAGACGCGTTGCTTCTCTCTCACTCCGACCGTGTCGACTACTGGACAATCGGAATCGGAATAGGGGGACCGTATTTTGTTTTCTGCGACACATCACGTAGGCACCATCCCTGTCCCCGCACCCCGCTCAGCAGTGCACGACTGTACTGGCACTGAGTGCCGGTTGGTTTACTCCACTCCCAGGTCCAGCCGTGCGGATCGGAACTTCGGCCAGGCCAGCCAGCTCACGTGTCGGCAGGAGGCGACTCTTATTTTCGTTCGGTGGGTCCACCTGGCTAAAACACTTCAAGGCGGGTCCAGCACACTGAATAAAAAAAAATCATTGTTCCAACGACCGTTGTGTTCTTGTGGCCGGGTTGTTGGTCCAATGACACGATGTTGCTAACCCTATGACAGCCGGTGATTGTGCCAACAGCCGGTGATTGTGCCACCGACCGTGTCGTTGAGCCAGCATATCATGGTCGTTGGAATAGCATCCTATGTTCCTTAAGCCATTCCAAGAGCAAAATGTTGTTGGAGGTGCAACTCTCGTCGTTGGCACAGTGATTCCCCCCCCCCCCCTTTTGCGTGCAGGAGGATCTCGCACGGGAACTGTTAGAGTACACTTGAACTTTTACAGCTCGTCTTCAACGAACACTTTAATGCCGACGCCGCTAGCCAACGGCAGCTATGCCCCCCCCCCTCCCCCTTTACCTCCGGTCACCGGCTACTTGTTGTTATTTATATTTTTGGAATATTTAAAAGCAGAAAACAGAATTACCGATAAGATGACTTCTACGCGAATGTGTTGGAGGCCAGGAGGCGGTCTGGAGCGGACGACGGAGGAAGAGGAAAAGAGACTCGGCCGCTATTTCGTTTGAAATGCTAAATACTGGTATCTGTTAAAAGGTCCAACAAGCGGGACCAGTTTGCGCCCGAGCCACTCTCCGCGGCGCTGCCATGCGGCTTGGGTTTTCCAGGACGATCCGGGGCCTGAATGAGCCCATCCGGTCATGAGCCAATGAACTCCCCGGCGCGACGCGGCGCCCATGAGGATGGTGGCGTGCACGAGTGCGCGTGCGCTCATGTCGATGAGGAGCGCGGCAGGGGCGGGGCGGGCTTCGCCGCGGGCGAGAGGCACCCCAGTTGGGACTGAGGACCAAGGATGCTCACCAGTGCACCCATGCTGAGGACTTCGCCCGGGGCGTGGGACATGACCAAGTAGAAAGCCTCTTGTAAGCCAAGGTTTTAAACAGCCTGTGGCACCCCAACTCTCACCAGGCGTGGATTACGGTCCGGCTGACAGGGGGGCGATGCACTGTCGGTTGCCTACATACATGGGTTATGTGGCGCAAATTGCCTACCTTTCAGGTGGCTCACTACAGACGGAAAGGGAGTGGGAGCGACACCCCCCCCCCTTAATCCGCCCCTGTCACGCCAGACCGACATTGCCTTACGTTAGACACCATAAGTTACCCCCATGCCATGTGATGAAGTGCATGCTCATGGTACCATCATCTGACCCCCCACGAAATCAAGTGAGGTGGGTGAGGTTCGTTTCTTTTCGCCTCTTTCTACTGGAAAAGTTGGCATGTTCTCCACTATGGACATCGAGTAACATTGACACCATGCAGACCGCGGTACATACATGCCATCGCAGTGCATGGTCGCAGTGCATGGTTGCCGTGCCGCTCATGGCCCATGGGTAAACCGCCTTTTTGATGTGTTTTAAAAAACTAGGACTTGAAAAACATTACACGAAATTACACAAATATTGAGCAAAGAGTTACCCCAAAACACGATTTTGAGCACTTCTTCTTTTTTGAAAAGGTAGTCGTTCTGTTTCTTCCCGCCGCGCTCCGCCACTACTACTCAGGGCCCGCAGTCCTCCATTAGCCAGGCCTGCCTGGGCCTGCTGGTTGGCCGGTCTCAAGAGTCCTGCTCATATTGTGCTGCTCACTTTGGTTATTTTCCGCGCGTTGAGGCCGGCTGGCCACGCCTCCGTGCGAAGTGAGCCCTGATGCAGCAGCGGCTCCCCGGGCTCTCCTGCTGGTCTTGTCCAGCGGCGGCTATCATCGTGCCAATCGAGTCCCCCCACCCCCCACCCGGCACTACGTTTTTCCCCCTTCGCCTCGCGTGATTTGTAATTACAAGCGGCGCGTGCCCCCTCCCCCTCCCCACCCTTTGGGCCCACGCCCCCCGGGGCCCCCGCGGGCCGCGCGTCACTCAGGACGAGGGGAATTCCCTCTGCCTTATCTGACCGCCGTGCGGTAGGCCGCCGCGTTGACGCGCCAGGAGGCAGCGTGGGAGCCTGAATGCTGAACGCTTGGAGCTAGTAGTATATACAAGCAGCACAATTCCCAAACTGGCGAGTGGTTTCCGCGCGTCCCGCCCCGCCGCCAAGGCCACTGAGAAAACCAAACGCTGGCGTCAGAAATAAAATGAGTATTACTGCGGCCGAGGAAGCCCCGCCCCGCCCCGCCCCTCCTGCCCGCGGCCGCGTCGGTCCGGTCGGGACGAGCGCCTGTGGATAGGCCGCCCCGCTCGGCACGGGCGCGTTGCGGGCCCGCCAGTGCGAGGTGTAGGTCATGGTGGCCATGGTCGGGCAGGTCGGGCGCGCTGCGCTGCTGCGCTGATAGACAACCGCGGCGCACGGAGATAAGTGCGTGCAGCAGCGTAAGGCTTAAAATACCGCTGTCCTCAACCCGACGGGCAACTTTCGTATAAACTCGCTGCAGGAGTCGCCGAGAGGCCGCAGTGTGATGGCAGGATGACGTCACTGTAGCGGGTTTGACGTCAGCATGCAAGGCAGGCCGGCGAGGCGAGCCGGGGAGTTGGTCCTGCCCGATCGGTGTTGAGCCCTGCCGCTAACGACTGCCCCACCCCAACCCACCGCCTCCCGCAGACGCAGTGCGCGTCATTGAGCTTTGTAATTGTTTTGTAACATTGCCGTCTATGTTGCAGGCCGTGCAGGTGGACGCCCACCCAGGAACGCGTCACAGCCGCCAGGACCTGCGCATGCTGCCGGCCAACGCGACCGGCACGCCCCAGGACCATGCCCTGGCCAGCGGGGTGGTGCTGCAGGAGGCGTCGCATGACGCTCTCCAGCCCCCGGCTCAGGACCCTACGTCCTCCACGCCCTCCATGACGTCCGCCTCGTCCGGAGCTACGACCGGCCCCTCCAGGACGACGGAGGTGTGGAGGAAGCTCACCACGGCAGGCACCCCTGTGGGGTCCCCTATGGGTTCGGCCATGGGCGCGCCGGGAGGCTCACCAGTCCCGCCGATCATGGGGCATGACCGGACCAAGCTGCACCCAGGTGAGCAAAGCGCCATCCTTGATCCTACCTTAACGATTGTTGTTTGTTTTTGTTCCGTTTCTAAAAGTGTTTCTGTCTAGGTCTGGCACCTGAGCAGCTTGGTGGTGAGGACAGCAACATCGTGTTCCCCTCCCCGCCTATCAAGACGGAGGGACCGTCAGGTCAGCCGAAATTCGACCCCTTTTCCCGGGCTCCGACGGGCCGAGCTCCAGCCTGTGCGAAGGGATCCACCTTCTGCACAGACATTGACAACTACCCAGAGTACGTCAGTTGTCACCTTTGTCATGATTTGCAATTCTTAGTTTGTATGCACTCAATAATTAAACTTTTATTATTTTTTCAGGAATTACCTGCAAACGATGCTGCGATCAGCTACCGTAGGTCTGGGTTATAGAGAGTATTTTGGGAATGATGTTATTGCTGAGAGCAATATTACACAACGTATTGATGCAAATGATGAAAACCCTCTTTGCCCATATGAGGTACCTACCTGCCAACAATTGCGTTGTAAGTGAAATGTATTTGACATGCTTTTCTAAATGCTTCTATTTTATTTTTCAGGAAACTGTGGTGTACCCCAAGGTAGCCAAAAATAAGGAAGATAAGTGGTTATACGTTGTGAATCAAGATCATTTTGTCCAAGGTGTCCGCATTGAGACCTGTCTGTAAGTACAAACAAAATTATAGGCATTTGTTTTCTTTCTTACCTTATTCAATTATGTATCTGAACATTTAATGTCATCTTTTCTTTTCTCTGAATCTAGGAACTCTGGTACAGCTTGCCAGCTGGCTGAGAACTTCCCATATGGATATACAACATCTTGTCGGCAGAAGTATATTCTTAGAAAATTAGTTGCTCTAAACCCAGAAGGTCAAACTCAAACTGATATGTTCCGTCTCCCATCCTGCTGCTCTTGCTATGTCACTCGATCTAACGTCAGCAGCAGAAGATCAAATATGACACCTGTCAAAAAGGCAGGCAGTCAAAAGCGTTAACAGTACTTCACGATGACTGAATCACTTGGAATTCTGCCATTGGCGTGGTTTACTGTTTGTTGTAATTGGACAGTGGTTGTTTTTTGGTATGTGTGCGGCTTGTACATATAGTAGCGTTAAAAATTTATGTAGGTACAAATAAATACATTTAATTATTCTTGAGCTTAGCCAGTATGAAACTGTGATAATCCTTAGAATTCTGAATTGGCTAAGTTTGTCAATTATATTTTTAACAACCAAGGCCTTTCTTGGACAATGTCTGTAACTATATTTTAGTCTGCAGGGCAACTTTTAAAAGGAAGTTTCATCATCTACATTGTTTGCACAAAAATTACGATGTGAAATGATTGATATTTTTTTAAATCCCAGCAACAGAAAGTGTGATTTTTACGATGCTTTATTTGTCTTTTTGTGATCTGTCACTTAAATAGTGTAATAACTAGATTCAAGGTTTAATATTTATATTTTAGAATTCTTTCATTTTACGTTTATGAAAAGCCTGAATATTCTAATCAATGAGCAATTGCTTGTCCTGCGTTACTTACACTTCGTCTTGCGCAAATGCTTGTTATGTTGTTCTTGTTGCGTGCTTTATTGATTTTACTTAATATCAATTACTTTTTTATTTTTCTCATAATGAATATAGTTTAAAAGTGTAAATATTTTCCTGCGCAGTAGCTATGCACTTAAGCAAAAAAAAATTATAATTATTTTGTCATTGATGCTTCTCTGCAGGTGGTACAGTACTCACTTTCTATTAGCAGCTATTATTCATTTTAAGTTTCTGACAAATGATGACCCTTAATTTTAAATTTCCACTCTTTTATGTATGCTGTTTCAGACAATATTACTTAAATCAATTTTCATGCTGCTCATGAAAAAATTTGTTGAGGTTTTTAATTAATTATTTTTAAACTGTTGCTGAAGAGTGATGGCTGGAATTCTATGCATATGTAGGTGAGTATTCTTTCAATATTGTTTGAAGGCAAATTGTTATCACCAAAGCCCTATCTCTGTAAATCTTATATGCACCAGATGATATTCAAAAAGAACTGTGCCAGTAAATCTTACTGTCTTTACTTTTCACAAGTTTTGTGAAAAGCAAATCTACAGTTCAAGTTTTGTACTCTAGTTTTGTAAGTTTTGAGGTCATTATTTCTGTAAATAATTATTAGATGAGACAGCTTGCCTAATTTCCACTAGCTTGTGGTAAGTTCACGGCGTAAATGCTTCCACTTTATGCAAATTATAGCTTGCATTAATCTGGCAAGTATTGAAAGGACCTGTCTTTCCTTCCATCCCATGTTGTCAAAGATTGTGAGTCTTTATTCTTGTTTTAACTCTAGTTTCTTCTCTCCTTATTTTAATTCAATGTCATCATTCATGCAAAATGTGAAATCATGGAAATTGTTACTGTTCAGTGTGGAAAGAAACTTGTTACGTTTGGCTGGTTACAACCAAATGAAAAAACAAATTTGTGCATGGTTTGTAATAAACCAATTCATTGGGTGTATTTTTATAGCTTCTAGTCTTTCTTGTTACATAATTGTGTATAAAATACTCTTCATGTCTTGAACTGTTCCAATAAATACCTCAAAATCAATCTGTATGCTGGACACATTGACAGGTCTTACAATTAGAACATATCCTGGGTATGTTAGAGCAGTACTTGACTGTTGAATTTAAACATGTTTATAACAGTAATTGATATACACTGCACAGTTTTAAAACAATTAAGCATAATTCATTGAGATCTCTTAATGACATGAGGTAAATCATACTTTCCACGGATGCATTTTACTTTGACACCGGGGCAGTCCTGGAGTCTTCCTGCTCGCACAAGGACAACATTGTGCTCCTGTTCACAATAAAAATATATCAGCATAACAATTGAAGAAGATAAGTGAACACACTGAAAGTGGGACATACCTGTAAATTGTGACCCTCACCAGGGACATGTGCCGTACATTCTCTACCATTCGACAGTCTAACTAGTACACATTTTCTATTGGCAGAGTTTGGTTTCTTGGGTTTTCTGATAACAGGACGAATAACAATACCTTTGGCCATTGGCTTTCCTTGCAAAGGATTTCGGCAGGGACGAGACTTTATCACTGGCCCATCTCGATGCATTTGTTGTAAAGATGCCATACATCTGGTAATCAAACCTAAAAAAAAAAGGAAGAAAACAACAACAACCGTTATTTAAATTTAGACGCGTAGTATTTAATGATAGGTATATTTTCCTGTCATGAAAACTTGTTTGCTACTTTACCTAAGCCAAATGTTGGAGAAATATCTGCTCCGTTATTAGGTGAACCAATGCTCTTGAGCAGAGTACTGTGGTTTCTCGCTAAAATAGAAAATTGTATTCTCAAATAAAAAGCTACACAACTACAAGGTAGAAACCCAATTTACATATGAGACAAAGCTGAAGCCCACCTTGATACAGACATCTCGGCAAGAATCTTTGAATTCCTTTAATGGATTGTGTCAGTTGCAGTGCGAGCAGAGACATTCTTGATGAACACTGATCTATAAACAATCAAAAGTGGAACATCAGCATGTCTATTTTAATTAAAAACAGTGTTTCATTACTCTGATAATTTTCAGAAGCTTCTTGGGATCTAAATGAGACCAGGTTAGGATAGAAACTATAACTACTGTTTTATTTTTTTGAAAGCGTGAGACGATGAAGTTTAAGCACAGTTTCAGAATGGATAACTTTTACAAGGTATTTTTTTAAAACACGCAATATTACCAGAATGAACTGATTTAACAGTCAAATAGCTACTGAAGATGTCATGCGTGTTTTGGTCGTGTCTTCTGCTTTGTTACTGGCTTGTAGTGGCAGCACTGGACGTACTTTTGTTTTATTTTGTTTTTGCATTTTATTGTTGGCGAAACTGAAACGTGGCGCGCAAACAGCGAGCGCGATCCTTTTAAACGTAATCGCGAACTAGAGAAGAGTGTTATTTAACCACAGCGCCCAGCATTTGCGGTATATCTGAAAAATGTAGAAAGGTTGCAAGAAAAGAGACACTAGTATAATATAAAAATACTAATTTTATTTATGAAACCACAAATGATTTAAAATTGAGCGAACTGACTGGATGTCCCCGTACTCTGGTTCACACAATAACAACACAGCCAATCAAGTCAAACATAATTTCAAAATCAGAGTCTTTTCATTAATCTATTTTTTTTTTAAAAGAAAAGAACCAACTAATCTACACATTTCCATACAAATTCACATCCGATGAGCTCAATAATGTTCCCTGGGAAAGTATTCACAATGAACATAATGTAGAATGTATCACACAGCAGTAAAGTGGCCTGGGGGCTGCCCTCACGACGTGTCCATCGCACAGCCATTGGCGTCACCGCGAGCCGAGAGAGTCTCCAATAGAGCTGCGGACATGAAAAATAAGCGGAGTAACTTTTCACGCCATTAGTGTCCGTTCCAAATGCAGTCGGTGCGTCCACCGGCTGACGCGGTGTCATCCTAAATTGTACTCGTATGCTCTTACCCTTGACTAGGCCGTCCATTGCGGTCACCACGGGAGAATCCGGGAACTCGGCCAACGGGTTCAGCCCTTCGTCGCAGCTCCTCGCGATGCGCGGGTCCAGGGGCAGCTGGCCCAACAGCCGCAGCGACTTCTCCTGGGCCATCTTGGCCGCGCCGCCAGAGTTGGGAGGAAATATGTGGCTGGGAGTCTGCATCAGTTAGAGAAGGGATGCTGTGCGTCAAGGCTTTGCGCCAGTGCGAGAGGGGGTGGGGGTGGGGGAGGGGGGAGGAGTCGACTTACTTTGCACTTGGGACAGACGAACGCCGTCATATTCTCGACGACACCTAGGATAGGGATTTTCACCTTGTGGCAGAAGTCGATTTCCTTCCTCACATCGAGCAGCGCCACCTCTTGTGGAGTAGTCACGATTATAGCTCCTAGAAATTACCTATCTATCAGTATTGACTCAGAAAAATTAAATGAATGCGTAGTAGTGAAACAAAATGCCGCCTTTGTAAATGCCTGACATGATATAGCAATATCTCACCATCCAGGTTCACTCCCTGCAAGTAGGTCGTCGCCGACAAATGTTCATCCGAGGTTCCCGGTGGCGTGTCAATGATGAGGTACTCCAGCTCGCCCCAGTCCACATCACTCAGGAACTGCCGGATCATCTCTGTGGGGAACGATGCGGCGGAGTTTTTGTAAATGGAACAAAGATGTCCAAAATATACCGTATTGTGGGGTACTTCAATAAAGAATGAATTTCACTCACGATTTTTCTTGGGCCCCCTCCATATGACTGCCTCTTCCGGGCCCTTGAGGAGGAAGCCGATGGACATGACGGCGATGTTCTCGTCCACGTAGACGGGCGACCAGCCTGAGCCGCTCATGTGCACCTGCTCGCCCACCACGCCCATGACCCTGGGCTGGGACGGCCCGCAGACGTCGATGTCCAGGACCCCGACCTGTATACATAGTCGCCCATGATTTCGACATCGCGTGGGGTTTCGAGAGCGCATTTTCAGAGCTAAAAGGAACGGCAAGGACCCCCCCCCCTTTCCAAAAAAAACGACAACCCTCCTCCAATTTTATTCGCGAGAACAGAGGGAGAGGGTCGTAAAGGAGCGGTTAGTGGTGGGCTAGGGGTGGGGGCGGACACGAGTGTCACGAAAGGCCCGCCTTACTACAGACGACCGCGTTGCAGAACAAGCGCGGCGCCTCCACCCACGCCACAAAGGCACTGGAGGGAAGGACCGTGGCCCGAGCGGGGGAGGGGGGCAGCGTTGGGGTGGTCTGGATCGTCTAGGCGGACGGTTCCTGCAGGTGGGACGAGCAGCTGATCGGTACAGGGTGGGGTTAGAGAGACTGCAAGTCTCTCTAGGTGGGGTGGGCGCGGGATGTGGGCCAGGGCATCGGGCCGAGTCGTGCCAGGCAGTCGCGGGACCCCGTCCCGACCCGCCCCGCGCCGCCCCGCCACCCTCCGCCGTCGACTCGCAACGTGCGGCTTGGAGCGGCCCGCCCCTCAGTCGGCGCACCCCCTGCCCCACAGGGCCCTGCAACGCCTGCACCGCACGCTGCTGCACGCGGGTCCGCACAGCACCAGGCAGTGTCGGGCGCGCCCCGCAGGGCTCGCAGCGCAGGAGGGCCGAGCTCTCAACGACCAGGATCCTGCGCGGGCGACACAGGCCAGCGCGGCCATTCGCAACCCTGGCGAGCAGACCCGAAGACATTGTGGTGAGTCGCCCATCGAGCCGGTCGGGAGCGCGAGTGCTGTACCTAACACACGTCCCTCTCGGCCCTTCAGCTCACTCCCTTGTACTACGCCAAACGCCTGAGGTCCTACGAGGGCTTCCCCACGCCGCCGCAACAGGTCAAGTTCCCTAAGGCGGTGAGTACCCGCGCAACTCCACTACCTACACAACCAGCCGCGGCCCAGTGCTGTTACCGCTGTTTAGGAACAAAGTAGCGACTTGCCCTCGGGTGCACTGACCTCGGCGCGCTAGAGGGGTGCAGGAACCACTGCAGTGGTCGTGCAAGTCCGCTGATTCATCGCGGATCGGTCGATATGTTTACTAGAGACCTGTCAGGGAGGTGGGCCCTCTCTCTTTCTTCACCAATTCTACCCCCCGCTGCCCCCTTTCTTCACCAATTCAACCCCCGCTACCCCCTTTCTTTCCAAGTCCAAAGCCCCCCTCCCCCTACCACTGCCTCAGCAGAACTAAACTAACCCCCGCCGCCCATGTCCCTGTGCCCATGCCTCTGTTGGGGGGACAGCACCTCCTGACACAGACTGAACGGTTTAGCCGATAGAGGGGGGGAGGGGGGCTGCCATCCGCGATTACGCTCGAGGAAAGGGGCGGAGAGTGGGGGCTGCTGAGGGGGCCGTTTTGCCTTCGCTGCGACCCCTCGGCCTCGGAGGCCGAGAGGAATGGGTCGAGAGTGACTCTATTCGCCGATACGCGCTGCGGAAACTTCTCTTTCTTCTCCCTCCATTTCCCCGTTCTCCAGTAGGGTACCATCCAGAGAGTCTGTCCGTCATTCGCCGTTACGAAAAGGGCAAGTTCAGCCTGTGGGTGTGGGGTCAAGCTCTGATAGCGCCTGCTAGGTAGGCAACATCTTGCGAACAGTGCATGCGTGTACTGCGGGCTGGCCTATCCCGAGTCTCGTAGGCGCCGAACTTCCGTAATTTGCCGAATGAATCCGATAAAAAAGAAACGGACGTACTTTCTGGAAAATTCTTAGCGCACACGATCGAACCAAACATGCATCCCAAAAAGATATGCCTGGTGGAGGTTGAGGGGGAAGTCCATGTCTATGGAAAACATGATTTTAAGGACATCGGAAAACAAAAAGTAGAATTTTAGCATGCACTGGTGCACATTTAAAATAATCAGAAAACTTTGAAATGCTCTTTCTGGCTCAACCTTACAGGCACTAACAGTAGAAATGATTTAGCGGTGCTCTCACAGGGCTCAGAGAGACACGTGCAATTCCACCCTCATAACGCATCATAGATCATGGTAAGACAAGGCATTTGCTTCCTCATTCTTATTTGAGATCAAAAATTCATTATAAATTTAAGTCACTCATCATGCTTGCTTGCATATTTTTATGCATTGATCCTTTACATTCAGTTTATAATGAAATGACAATTTTAAAGTTTATAATAATATGTATAATTAATGTTTGCAGCTTTCAACGTACCATGAGGATATCAAAAACCAGATATGCAGGTAGGCATAACTCAATTATAAAATACAAACATGATGAATATATCTAGTAATGAGATGACCAAAACCAAATGCATTGACGTTTTGAAGTGGACTACTCACATTACGATCTGTATCCAAAGAAGCAAGAGATCTTGCTAGTAAAGCGGTAAATGTACTCTTGCCTACACCACCTTTGCCAGATAGGACCAATATTTTATGCTTGACTGCTGATAATCGGTTTTTCACAAGCTGAATACCTGGAAAATATTGAGTTAAAAATTACCTTAGCGAAATCAATATATTCACCCAAATAAAAGTAAACAATTGGGAGTACACAGATTAAGGTAAGGGAACAGACCCCAGCAAAAGCTATAATTCTACTGACAACCCAACAGATTTCATAGGTGCGTTACCACTTTGTTATGTTTACATTTGTAACTGAATGTCAATCGCGCCTAGACACCAAATGATTGCACAACAAATGAAGTACATAGGTACAGAGGTTAGGTATGACGATAACCAAAAATGACTAACAATGCAATTTTAAGGGCAGGGATAATCCGATCCATCGCACCGGACTTAAGGGAAATCACATTTGCAACAGCGATCATCATAACTTACCGGGATCTGGGGCATTGGCGGCACCCGAGGAACATATTGATTGGTTAGGACACCCAGCGCAGGCAGAAACTTTGCCTGCAGATTCGCTCTGGGTTCCGGGACAGTCTACAAAGAATTGTGTCTGTAAGTTCTCGAATGACATTGCCATCATACAACATAGTTTTGACTCAACACTTACGTTCAGGAGCGTCAGCTGGGTGCTGCTCCATGGTTCATTCGCGAAAGATACTCATTCATTCGCGACTCGGGTTCAATAAAAACCGCCGTGGAAAAAAGACTACCAACCTAATGCGCACGCGCACCAGGCTCTAGTGAAATTTGAAAAACATAACTTTTGTAGTTCTATGAATAATTTAAAAAATGATTGTAATTTCCATAGTAAGAAATGACACTAGGATACTCTTCACGTTCATGCGAAAAATGTTCGTTTTTTGTCATTTTGTTTTTGTGTTTTGGTTGACTTGGCGCGCCACATTTGAAGGCATTCGCGCTGGTCATGTTTTTGACAAGTATGCGTATTTTTCGACAAAACGGGCCACGACCCCTCGTGAAAAGAAACAAGTGTTGCGGAATCGACTCAAAAAATATTATCCCTTTTTGGAGAATACATTTTGCAGCGTCGATTTCACATATTCGTAATTCAGGAGTGCAAGACTCAATATGTTGCCATAGCAATGGCTGACTTTTATGAGCAGACCCACCCTCGACCATGTGGGGCCTAGTATCAAAACCAAAACTACCGTAGTGACATTTTATTAAGGACAAAATTTTAAGTAATAAGTAAGACAAGATGACGGCAAGTGTGCACCGCGGGGCGGATACCGTCATGTACTCGGTTAGTCGTCGATCCTGCGTGACAGACAGGACTGACACCAAACAGCTGTGTTATTAGTAGTATAATGTGGTTCCCAGGTAGCAAAGACCAGTGCTTGTTATACGCATCTGAGTTCGTTGCTTAAAATGCGCCTCAAATTCGAACTATGTATACCAGCACTTTTGTTTATCCTATGCTGTACCGCATTCCTAAGTGCGGGCGGGTTGCCTACTCGCTCGGCCCGTAAGGCGCTGAGGTCAGGGACCGCTCCGCCCGCACGCCTGCGTGCTGTACATTAGAACTAAAGAAGTTCGCGGGGTTAATCAGCCACCTGGTAGGTGCTACTCGTCTACCTTCTGCTACATTCCGCTGCACCATGTGCCATACAGCAACTCCAGCCCTGGAGTCAGTGCGGGGCCCCACCCTGCATGGAGAAGGTGGTGGGTCCTCCCATACCGGACCGCATCGCCTCTTTCTACCAGACCCCCCGACCCCATCCCTGGCGCCCCACCCTGGGATACGAGAACGTCGAAGTGGTCCCGATGTACGCCCATACCCACCACGCCCCACACCTCCCATATCCTCCCTGCCTCTGCCGCATTGCCTCATTAGCGGCTCCCCTCCCCCGCAGGCCCAGCCTCCCGGTGACCAACGCCCTGGTGGACCCGTGCTACACCCCGTGCGGCATGGCCACCGAGCCGCTGCGCTTCCCCAACCTGGTGACAGGCAACGCGCGCAACCCGCAGCACGCGGCGCGCGCCGCCCTGTACACGCGCTACACGCCCTTCGAGTGGGCCAACTCGTCGCTCAACCAGTACAACGAGGCCGACACCAACCGGAACTTCTCCGAGCGGCTGCGATGCGAGGCCATGCGCGTCATGAAGTGAGTCTGGAGGGTGTCCATAGCAGTTGTGCGACCCTGGAATCTGTTCCAATTAAGTCGCACAGCTGCTCGACACCTTTATGTTGACATGTCATATGAACCATATGTCACTGACACACGGAACGGGACAAGGGCTTCGCCGCAAGGTGTCTAGAAGCTGTGCGGCCCTAGAACCTGTGCGATTTGAGTCGACTTGACTTGACTCAATAAAGTCGCACAGGTCCTAGGGCCACACAGTTGCTGGACGCCCTAGATTTACAGTGTAGGGACGAACTCTCACGTGCCATGTGCTTTGTCCAGGGAGACGGAGGAGAAGACGGCGGTGGCGCAGCGGGAGTCGGGGCGGCGCTTGGGCGAGCGCATCACGGACACCACCTTCTGGCGCAATGAGGTGGCCACCGAGCTGGAGAACATGCTGGCCGAGACGAGTCGTCTGCAGGACACCCGGCGCGCCCTCGAGAAGGCCATCCAGGACTGCGAGCCGCCGCTGCACATCGCGCAGGAGAACCTCTACCACCGCGAGGGCCGCCACGGCATCGACCTGGTGCACGACCAGGTCAGTGCTCTCGTTTGCGGGTAGGAACCCGGTCCACGGATCGAATCTCTCAGGGGAACCAGGCGGCACCTCGCCGGAGAGGTAGGCAAGGCATTATTCTGCCGGTTTAGGAGCCAGGTACCCCGGGACTGGTGGAATCAGGCGTGGTATAAGGACCGGCTGACGGGGGGCGGTGCACTGTGGGTTGCCTACATATAGGGTTTTTGTGGCACAAATTGCCTACCTTTCAGACGGCTCACTAGACGATGAGGGGGGGGGGGGGTCTGGGTGGAATGACCGACTCAGACTTCGGCCAGACACCCGGGTAGCCCGGATTTTCAGAGCTCTGCCTGACACACCGACCGCTGGGGTGTTGTGCAGGTGGAGCAGTCGCTGTTGTCCGAGGTGGAGCAGATCCGGTCGTGCCAGTGCCGCCTCAAGCAGCTGCACCAGCGCGTGTGCGACCAGTTGCGCTGCAGCCGCGCGGCCCAGCAGGAGCTCGAGCTGGACGTGAAGAGCAAGGAGAGCGCCCTCGGCATCGACAACGTGGCGCACACACTCAACAACTTCTCGCGCGGCATCAACTACTACGGAGGCATAGAGAAATACGACAACACGTGCGTCTTCCCGCCCATCCACGCCGGCTCGCGAGTCTTGGAGTTGTTCTAAGGGAAGTCCTCGCGCGTTGCAGGTTGACCACGCCCGACTCCTGGGCCGAGAACAGCAACCGCAACTGCCAGCGCTCGCAGAACGAGCGCATCAAGTCGGCGCAGTTACGGGCGGACGCGGACAATCTCATCAACACCTGCTCCAACGAGATCTGGAACTCGTGGGGCTCCACCAACAACGCCTTCAGCAGGAGAGTCGCAGAGACGCTGGAGGCCAAGGGCAAACTGCAGATGCACTTGCACAAGGTAGGACCGTGTAGGCTGCGCATGGCGGCAGACGCCTGTGATGGGCACTAAACCGTCTGTTATGGCAACACAGGTCCAAAAGGAGATCTTCGACGAGGAAAAGAACATTGAGCTCCTGCGCAAGGCGATCATTGACAAGAGCAAGCCGCTCAAAGTGGCGCACACCCGGCTCGAGGGGAGGTCCCACCGCCGGGCGGTGGAGCTGTGCAAGGACGACGCGTACAACTCGTGAGTAGAACTTTGCACTGGCTCGCGGGTCGGGTCCGGGTCCAGGTAAAGGTCGGTCGTGTGGACGTGCACTGCACGTTTGCTCTCTGTGCGTTGCAGGCTCGTGCTGGAGGTCCAGGAGCTGGAGCACTCGCTCAACCAGCTTCACCGCAAGCTGGAAGAGGCCGAGGCGCAACACCAGCAGCTCCTCTACACGCAGAGCAACCTCGAGTCAGACCTGCGACTCAAAGTCAACTCGCTGTTTATCGACAGGGAGAAGTGCATGGGGATGAGGAGGAGCTTCCCCATCAATGCCACCATCAAGTACTGAGCACAACCAACAGCCACGCCGCCCACTCTCCTCTCCTTTCCGGTCGGTAATCATCTCATTGTGCTAGCTAGAGATGGGGAAAGGAGAGACGAGATAATTTGTCACAGCTGGTATTCTGCCTCTTTGACTGAAAAGTAGTTGTGTCGAGATTGCTAATCCCTATGGCTTCTTGCCTTGTCATACAATTGACAATTCAGAATTTCCTCCGAAAAATTTCCACAGAAGTTTGTAAGGACAGGCAATCAAAGCAGACATAATTTTGTCAAAGAGCTCAAGAGTATATAAAAACTAAGCTAATACAGTTTATATTCGACTTTGAAGGGTAGACTGTACTAGTTTAACTTTTCAGTCAAACCACCTACCTATCTGTATCTTGTGCAAGTTCTGATTCAACTTATTTTCTGGACAGGGACAAAAACAAAAGTTACCAATTGAATTGCAGTTTGTTTTTTTAAGTTATCTCAGGATTTACATAGATGATTGATTAAACTTATTTACACATGTTCCAATAATTAAGGTACTGATTGTAATAACACAACTTCTAAAACATACATACACATACAGAATTATTATTTAAAATTACGTCTGGAAAATACCTTATTATTTAGGCAATTCATTTTCAGTCATTTGTAAAGAGTTCATAAAATATTGGTCAATTAATGAAAAGCATGCCAATTCTGTCTACAAAAATAATAATTCCTACATTAATACTGCCTTTGACAACATACTGTTTAAGAAAAAATATATCTACATAATTACAAATATGTACAGATCCACAATGACTATGTCTTCTCACTCTTCATTACAAAATAATTCATATCACAAGGCGACCAGTATTCAGTTAATGGTCGATTTCTCTAAAGCCAAGGGTGCCATGCAGGATCCATTCTGCATAAGTTGTCATGACTATTAGCTGCTGCTACGAGAGTGCTCACCTAAAACAGAGTAATGCAATTAAGAATTTACATGTACATGTGCAATACATCATATGAATATTGAAATGATGTGTATTGATGGAGAAATCAAAACTTACTTTGCTTTCTACACCATCAAAGTTTGCTAAGTTATTGAGTCTCTGACTGATGGCTGCAACAGCTCTAGTCACAAGCAAAATGACAATCTCGCCACCAACATCAGCAGGTGTTTGAGCAAGAGCTGCAGCAGCATTGGCTATATCACCAACTCCAGGATCCTCCTTCTATAAAGATAACAAACATTAGGCCATTATAATGGGATTTGTAAATTAGTCTAATATTTCCCTTAAAAACATACCTTCTTATGCCCAGCAAACATTTCGTCTCTTAAAACAGCGCGTAAAATAGTTTGTACTTTAAAGCTTGGTTGAGCTAGGCAACGAGCTGCTGCTATCATACTAGATGTTAAGGGTCCTGCTACACAAACTGGCCCCAAGAGCTCCATCAAGTTTGGTGTAAGGCGGAAAGGTACAGGTCGATTGGAATCAAGTTCACCTAGTGAAAGAAAATATTGCATAAGAAATCAACTGTGGCAGAAGCTCAAAAAAATTGTCTGGAAGGATTCACTTTACCTTGATCATTGAGGTCAAATTTAAAATAGGATACATTAATAAAACCAGAATCTTGATGAACATAAAGCATGTCTGGATTTAGTCTAGTTAAATGCAACACATACTCTGCCAAACAGTTCAGTGCTAATTGTAAGGCAACCATTTTTCGGAATGTCCAGTAGTCAGTTGCAGTAGGGAATGTTCTCCTTGCCCAGTCCCTCACAAGTGTACGAGGTACAGCAAGTTGAGCATCCTTAAGGACTTCACGTAAAACTCCATGACTCACCTAAGAGAAAATCGACCACTCAGCAATAGTTTGAAGATAAAAATTGCAAACAAAATAAAATAAATAATGATATGAAAACTAACTTGTGCCTGACGAGCCTGTATGCTAACAAGCCTTTCATAATATCGAGCAATTGGTGTTTCATGCTCAATGCCAAGACTTTGACAACCTTGTTTCAAAATATCAAGGAGTGATATAGATGAGGGATTATCTTCAACGAGCCTCATTTGAGGAGAAACAGCAACAACACGTGGTACAGTAAAATGAAGGAATCTTCTGGCAGTTTCCTACAAAGAAATTGTAAGATTTAATTCTGAACAAGTACTTTCTTAAACAGTTTATGAACACGCATTACAAAAGGGAGTAATTACCTTCTGTTTTCCAAGATAGTGATTAAGCATTCGCAAGGCTTGAAGGACTCTATCTTCTCTTCGAGCATCACCAAGTCCAGAGTCATTTACAACAAGGTACGGATAGATTTTGCCATTGTGTCCTCGGATATACATGCGTCTTGCAGCAGAATTGTGTTTTTGAACTATTTCAACTCTTGGCATGAATCTTGAGATTCTAACATAGTAGTGTGGATGCTAAAATTACATTTAAAGAAGAAATAAAGATTGAAAAAACAATCCCAATTGATAACAATTTTGTTTCACGAAAAGCAAAAGGGTTATACCTTGAGAAGCAGAAATTCTCCAGGAAGCTCAATTTCAGCAGTCTGAAGACTAAAATTGCTCAAAAATCTACATTTTTCTTCAATGAGGAACGACCTGAACAAAGATAATATGAAATTGAATTCAGTTGGCTTAATTAATCACACAATAATTATTTAAGTATTACACTTACTTAGGCAAGGTTTTAACTTTAGCCTCAAGCAGCTTGATCCACTTTTTCAGTTTTGCAATGAGGTTATGTAACTTCATTGACCCTGGTACAGAGAAATCCAAGTCAGCAGAGAACTGCTTTTTCATGTGTTGGAAAACTGGATCTTGTATAGTAAGCTGTGCCCTTCGGGCAAGGCTTTCTGATGCTGCTGAACTAAATGCTGCAGAGACTGAACTGTTGATATTCTCTACTCCAATTCCAAAAGTTGAAACAATTTTTCGGATAAAGTTAGCTGTGTGTGGTGTAATATCAGCGTTGCTCACTCTTGCTCGTTCATCAAAGGCAATAGTATAGCACTTGGCTAGCCCCTGTTTGAGTTGACGAAGAACTTCCTCATACCAATTTTCTCTGAACCAAACCATTTGATCAACAACACCCTCTAGGGACGATAAAATTGTAGGGTGTATATCCCTTTGCATGTGCATTATTCGAGAGCATCTCCACATGGATGGTGTAGCTCTAATTGGCCCAGCCTCAGGTGGGCCCTGAGCCGTCTGACCGGCAGAGGTAGCTGAAGCAGCGGCTCCAGCTGCTGTAGCTCCAGAGGCACTAGCAGCTGAATTGTCTGCCTGTTGGGCTTGCGCCTGAGCCTTGTAACGCTCACGTTGCTCTATTTTAAGAGACAGGTAGAGAGTTCTAATGGGGAAGTAAATTGCTTGAGGAAACATTCGTCCAACCTGGAAAATAAGAGAAATTTAAATTTGTAGGCGGAACCAGGATGAAAAGAAAGCATTTAAGATGCATGAGATAGATAAAAGAGTACCTGGCAAAGGAGATTCAGTATTTGCTTTCCTTCATTGCGAGCAAGACATGTCAAAAGTTGGGGAATCCACGGTAACCATTGCACAGGTGGAACACCAACAGAGTACTTATCTACAGCTGAAGTCAAGGTATACTGCTCATCATCATAGGTAAGAAGCCATAACACCTTTGCTAGGTACTTTCTTGACTTTGATTCATTTTGGTGGCGGCAAGCATGAAGGAAACAAGTTATGGCTGAAATACCCATGTGTATGTGTTTGGGATCACGTGTGAAGATAGCTTCTAAATAATCGCCCCAAAGAGCCCAAGCTTTCACTAGTGTATCATGCATCTGGACTGCTGCTGAGAATGCTTTGTTTGCATCCTCTGATCGTCCAATTTGTGCCAAGAGCATGCCCTTCAAAGCGTAGAATTCGGCTGTCATTTCTTTGGTAAAGTACTTCAGATTAGTAGATTCAATAACTTCCAGTCCTTCCTGAAGTTCTGTTTTCCCAGACACTGATGCCATCTGAAGATAGCATTTAACCTGTTGTCTTATCTTTTGGAAACAATCCACAATTGGTACACTTGGAATTGTGTATATTCTAGACAGTGAATCCAAACAAACACCTGTCAGATTGTGTTTCCGTCCAATTTTCCCAAAATGAATGATTGCCTGTGCCGAGGCATGAACTCCAAGCATAGAGTGGCTGGTTGTCTGCTCATTCTGAGCATCGTAATGATTTGCTATAATAGAATAATGGTGTTGCCGCCACACAAGTATATCTGACCAGTGACTTAGGTCATCTTGTATAACTGGCAAGCGATTGCGCCATGTCTTCACAATGGCCTTCATATCATGAACTGAATTAGCACGAGCAGCATTCAGTCCTTGATGAATAGAACCAGCTTCTTGTAGTTCCATTATTTGCTGAGCAGCTTGAAGAAGGGGGAGATGAATATGAGAGACAATGCGTGGCAAACGGCGCCATTCACGCATACAACAGGTGGTAGCTGCTTCTACACAACGATCCACTTGAGTCAAGCGTTTTTCTTCTGGATGTAAGATTGCAATGAAACCACGATACAGGTGAACCTATATAAATGATGCTATGTTAGCTTGATACATAAATTAGTAAAGAATGCAATTAAACATTTTAGCGAACCTACCTTCCATGCGTACTCTTTTGGACAACTGTGTTCAACTTGTGTGAGAGCTTCTTTCATTAGTGTCATTTTGGGCACCCTCCATGCACTCTCCAAAACAAGCATTGGATTAGGATTGATCTTGGAAGTTCCTACTTCCAGTAACATTTCCCACTGATTAAGTTCCTTGGCACATCTAGTCCAATGCTTGTCCCACAGCATTACTTCAGAATTCATATTTGGTGGGATTGGTGCAGAACAATATTCCAAACGAATTTTATTCATACCCAGTTCATAAGCACCAAGTGCTTGTTCAAAGAATCCTTGCTGCTCATAGGCAATGGCAGTTGCAGTTTCCCTAAATTTGGCTTGTTTTTGCCACAAACCTGCCCACATATCTTCTTCGCATAGACATGAATACATACTAGCCAAGGAATCAACTATTTCCTAGGTAACACAAACAAACAGTTCTGTAAAGTGATAAAGTGATAAAGGGATACCAGAATGATAAATGAGAATAAGCACATACCCTATGACCTGAGTTCTCAGGTTCAAAGTCATAACAATCAGCAGCATCTCGTTTTACTTTGTTCTGTGAACTAGCTCCTGCTTCTATGGCCATCTGCTCTAATGACAGAGCCATACGGTGCCATAGGTTATGAGACTTGCCAAGGTACAACATGACTGATGGCTTGATCTGCAATGGAGGATTACATCTTGCGAGGGCTTCGGTGAAGGTATTCAGAGCCGATGGTTGACAGTCTTTCTGAATAACATGCGCTCCACTGGCCAAGAATGGTACAATTTCTGTCCTTAGAGCCTAGAGGATAGAAATGAATGTGTTATAAAGCAAAATAGAATAGCTGAAACCAAACAAGTGTATTAAGAATCACAATTTACCTCTCGCTGATGGTCTGTTAAAATGGACCATAATCTTGGAAAGACATCTAACCACATGCTTTCTGCTAGGGCAGTATCCATGTGACACAACTGAGCAGCAGCATAAAGAAATTGGCCAGTTGTCATCTCACGAGCTTTCTCAAAGAATTTCATCTGTTGAGGCAATAAGACTTCAAGTGCTGCATGTCTTGACCAGGCCTCATCCCTTCTCTCTCTTTCATTGTTAGGCATGTCCATATCAAGCTCCTCCTGAAAAAAAATTAAGAGAGAAAAATCACAACACAATAACATGAACTATGATTTCCACAAGCTTTTACTGAAATTACATCTCTCACAGCGGGGTCAACTCCAACTTCAGGTACATCTGGCTGTTCTTGCTTTATTGCTACAGGAGGAACTCCATCAATATTAATGCTACCAGAAGCATTTGCTGAGACTAAAGCTGCTGCTCCAGCAAGACTTGGTAAAAGGTGGTTTTTGTTAGCTAGTTGAATTCTGACATCTGAAAAATAAAATAAAAGATAGAATTATTGTATAAACATTATCAAAGACCACCCTGGTAAAAATAAATAATAGTGAATCTCTTGTCTGAAAAGTACTCACTAGCTGTAGCGGTTGTAGTGAGCAATTCAATACATTGTTTGATCCAGTAATGAGGACCCATGTGCTCCCAATTTTGACTGCACACAATATAGAGTAGACGCTCATGTAAAAACTTTGGCATTGACTGGTCAAAGACTTCAAAAAATTTTGCACGAACACTTGGTACAGGGAAACGTAATCCAGCTAGAAAAGCTGGTTCCAATTTAGTTGTAAGATCGGTATGTCTTAGGTTTTCATCCCTAAAAATAGATCAAATTAGACACACTAATTTTTTTTACACTGAGATATTTACAATAAAATTTCAAATATACCTGTAGACTTGGATAACAAGTTCTAAGAACTGAGCATTTAGTTCTCTGTCTTCTGGGAATCGTTTTTCAACGTGAGCCATCATTCTTACGAGCAGTAGAGATGTTTCTTTCGGACTTGGAGCCTCAAGGGTTGACTTGCCACCACACCTCATCCAATCTTCAACCATTTTACATATTGCTTTCATAACCTTAGGGTCATTGGTACGGTCAATCAGGCCAACAAGCAGTGTGTTCACAAACACCTTACGCATTTCCATCATTTTGTGAACACGATTTTTTATCAGGTCCAGGCAAAGAATTAATAATTCATTTAGCATTGCATTAGTTTGCTGTTGATTATGAAGATGTTCTCTCTGGACTTTTTGAAGAACTTTGAAAAATGGGACTAGAAGACGGTCAATATAACCAGGGTTGTTGGTGCAAGCTGCTTTAAGTATCATTAAGGTTCCAAACAGGGGACTAGCTTCACCATTCTTCTCATAAATGGCAAGACCTTCAAAAATAACTCTCTCTATATTCTGGTAGAGATAATCTAGTTCCTCATGCTTGGATGGTTCAGTGGGGAAAACACTCATTAGTCTTACAAGCAAACCATGTACCAGACGTATCACACTGGTATTGGTAGAATTAATGCAATGTAAGAGCCCCTTTTGTAGGGGTCTAAATGCATTAAGAATTTGTTGTTTGTTCATGACAGACACCAAGAATGTCAGAAGTTCTAAAGCAGTGCATATGTTCCCAAAATGTGGATTAGCACTTTCTAAGGTACACAACACTTTATCAAACCAAGCCAGTTTCAAGTCACACTCATGAGGCCACATATCCGGCTTCAATGCAGTTTTGATCAGATTAACACACCTCCTAGACAACTGCTCTCCTGGGGTGCCTCCAACAGCCGCACTAGTAGCAGCAGCTGCGGCCGCCGCAGCGGCTGCAGCAGCTGCAGCTGCAGCCGCTGGAGCTTGCGCTTGCGCAGCTGCGGCGGCGGCGGCAGCGGCAGCGGCTGCTGCAGCAGCATTTGACTCGGCAGGGGAGCACACTTGACAGGCAAGACGAAGAAGAAAATTGATGACAGCATCAGCGTGTTGCCTATCGATAGGTTTGGTACTACCAGGCTCTGCACTACTTTGAGAGGTGCTCTCAGCACCAGTTGGTACAGCAGTCGATGGACTGGCGCCGTTTCCTATAGCTAAACGTTTGCGATTCGGCTCATTAGGGTCTTCTGTGGATGGTCGCTTCACTACTCCAGTCAGCAAGTTTTGCTCTTGAGTTTCAGCCTCTTCCTTTATCCTCTGCAACTCCCACTTAATAATAACTTCAGCTAGATCAACTGCTAGTTTGCGCTGTTCAAATGTAGCAGTAGGGCTTAAACCCAATCGTTGAATGGAGTCACCCATGTTTTGAACTAAAGCATGACGTACAGGATAATAGACTTTGTAATGGCGGACCACCAACTGAAGAATATGGAAAAGTTGTTGTAATGAATGTCCTTCTTCAACAATAATTTTCTTGGTCCAGTGCGTGAGCATCGTATTACCATCCTCCATACGAACAGGCATTGCAGGTGTGAGAATTTCAAGAGCCTGGCGGACAACTGATCTTGCTTCAACAGCATGTGCTTTTAGTAAGCTGTGGAATACTTGAAGCACTATTCGCTTGTGGATAGCAAAACGAGCAATAATATGCGACAGAAGAAGATGACCATGATATCGGGTCGCTGGGTCCACACAGCTCTTGCCTAGAAGACATGGCCAGGCAAACGTCATTAGGCGACGAAGTCTTGCTCCCTGCTTCTTGTTTCCAGCATCATGAATGTGGGCAGATGCTTGCTCAACAAGCAAGCAGGACAGCTGAAGCAAGAGAATTCTGACACAGTCTGATGAACATGCAGAATTTTCTGGGTCAATAACCTTTGTTATGAAAACAGAGACTATATTCTCAGGATGATCCTGCTCAGGGGTTGGTGTACTTCCAACTAATTTATCCCCTTCACCTCTATCAAAGCTCACAGCAAAGCAAGGGATAAGAATCAGTTGAAGTATTTTACTCTTCAGTTCAGGTGAAAGGTTTGGTTGTGGAAATATTTCCACAAACTTAAAAAATGCAGATCTTTTCCATTCCACTGTATAGCTCTGAGCTACAGTATTCTCCAGGAAATCGCGGAGGAACTGAAACAAAAAAATTAATTATTAAAAACAACACTTAAAACATTTAAAGAACATTCACCAAATATTCATTTGCCTCTATTAATAAAGACTTTGCAATCAGATTTCAAACCTGAAAATCCGGGAGATAGCGAGCCGTTGTAGCCCTTAACAGTTGGAACAATAGGCTGATTTCATTGGGATGGTGACGGAAATAATGCAGTAGTATCTTGCAAAGGAGCTTTGGTTCCTTCCAGTGGAGAGCATCCAATCCATCAATCGATTTGTGTGTGTCCTGCAAGACAGAAAGAAAGAAAATACATAAATCATAAGATTGAAAGATGACAAAATATCATACATAGCACACGAACGAGGAAACCAGGAAGGCTGCAAAACAAAGTATGCCACACTAGTGACAAAGTAAGAGTACAATCAAGGAGCCCTGTAGCCAATATACAAGGAAAACAAACAGGCACAAGACTAGACAAGGTATAGGCACTTTGCTAGATATAATAAGTTTGGAAAAAAGTTGGTTTCTGACAGAAAGCAAAAGTTTATGGAACAATTTTGTAACTTGAGACAAATATTTATGGAACATAGTACTGTGGGGCAACTACAAAAATTAAAGATTCTACAATCAACCAGGAAATTAAAGGTTCCTGGTCTCTTACCAAAAGATTGCCTTGACTCCCATGAAACAAAGAACATGCACTTGGTTAAATTGATTTCTCTCTGACCAACATTGTATGGAACTATATTCTACACACACAACAAATAGTATCTTACCAAGTAATCATCAGAGCACCAAATTTTTTGATAAGTTTCAACAAGTCCTTGTTGGGTTGCCAGCCACTGGTCGTCTTGCTTCATTAGAAGAGCTGTTATTCGAACACTCTGATATCGTAGTTCTGATTTATCTAGAGTAGCTTGACCAGGCTGAGCTGCTTGAACAGCAGCTGCAACCTGAGATTGCTGGCGGCCAAAACAAAGCTCCTGCAGTCTTCTGGAATTGTTTTGAAGGTGTGTGCGAAAGAGTTTCCCTTCTGGATGTTTGATCAAATATTCTAGGTATCGACTTTTTTGACGGTCCTAAAATAAGACAATGTGCTATTAAGAACTTTTTGATTGCATAACCAGTAGAGAAAAGATAAAACAACAACTTTAAGAACAAACCTTCATAAACTCATCACTCAAGAAAACGTCGGTAGCAACTTTTGCAAATCTGAGAAGAACTTTCATAAGGGGTTCACGGAGAGGAGAAGCTGGTTCCATATTCACTTGTTTTTCAAGTTGTAGAACAAGTTTCACTATGTTTGAAACAAGTCTTGTTTGTGGCCCCTCACTGGTTGGGATACATTCAATGATTCCCATAATAGTTATAACTTTCTGCTCCGTTTCACCATCCTTGGAGAGACCTGGAATCATCACAAATAAAGCGTAGGATGTATTTCATAAAACTATACATGTATTGTACTGAGCTTACAAACTGGCCACTAAAATAGTGAATAAATAGGCTTAGAATGAAAACAGATTCAGTTTACCTTTAATGTCTCCATTTCTGTAAGCAGTTCCAAGGGCCTCAAAGAGTGTCTGTAAGTGATGTATCAACTTCTCAGCCAATGTTTCTTTGAAGCTTGAAGGAAAAAGTTTCACGAGGTACAAAAGCTTGCGGAGTCCACGGAGTGTCAATTGCCTGTGGTCTTTAAGAGACATCAAAAGTGGACGCATCACCCCATGAACCTAGAAAATAATTGAAAATCAAAAATCAAACTTCATGTGTTAAGGCATATAATAAAAAAAGATTTATATCTTTCTCCCATACCATTTCCATATCAACTTTAAATCCTTCCACAAAACTTTGCATACACTGAAATGCTGCATCTTGGAGCTCAGGCTGAGGCCAATCAAGGGCTTTGAATAATGCTTGAAAAATTTTCTCCCTTTTATCTTCTAGGTAATGACAAGCAGCTAGAGCTCGCAGAGCAGCACGGCGAAGTGGTGCAAGGTTGTTGACATTTTTGTAACATGCTAATTTCTGTAACTGTGCATCTTCTGCTTCACAGAGAGCCATTACTTCATGAAAGAAGACCTGAAAAGCATTGGTAAGATAAATGATTTGCAAATGGGAAGAAGTATTAGGACTTGATGAGAAGATGTGGTTACTTTGTGTTCAACGATAGTGGGATCAATAGTAAACAAACGAGGACTAAGGGTGGTACAGAACGTGTTTCCTTCCATGAGGCCCACTTGTGCATTGGCTGCTTGATGCCTTAAGAGATGTTTTTTGGGTGGAATCATATCAGCAAGAACATCCTTGTGAGGTTCCATTACTTCAACGACAGTTTTCCCTTGAGCTTCAGCTAAGATTTTTAGTAATGTCATACTCTGCAACAGTTGTGATTCAGATATTAAATTAATTAAGTAAAAATTGAATTTACTGGATTTTGGAGGAAAATAGATGACACACACCTGTTCACGTAGAGAATCAGTGGGGCTTGTGACTTGGCGAACAAGTTCGTAAGTCACCTCCAAAACACTTTTACGCTGGGCATTGATTAATTCATCATTTGTTCCATCAGACTCGACTGGTTTAGCGCACTGTGCCAACATCTTTTCAAGGTTGGACTTTGCCATATCAATTGCTCCAGTTGAAACCTATAGATAGTTTATTCACACATAAAACGTAATAATAATACCTTTTAAAAAGTAGACACCTTTTAATATAATCTGTACAGAAACATACCTCCCCTGTAAGGTCCATCATGACAAAGAGTTGAGCCTTCACAAACTGGAAAAGATGCTCAAAAACCCATCGAAGGGCCATTCTCTCCACAAGAAATTTAATTGCTATGCACCCACCTAACTTGGCATACCACGCTCGGTCATAACAAAGGGAACACATACGTTCCGCTAAATACTCCATCATAGGGAGACGGCAAGCCTTCACATGTAACAATACAGAATTATAAATCAACACGACATGATACGTGTTTGTGTTCAGAAAAACAACATGGAAAACACTGGTTCCTACTTACCCGTTCTTTTGAGCCTAAAATATTTATAGCTGTTTGTAAAATTAGGACTAAAGCTAAACGGCCTGGCTTGCACAATTCCTTTTCTTCATGGCCCATAATTACAGCAAGAGCATCCAAAAGCACCATTGCATCCATTCCTTCTCTACCCCAGCCATTTGGATTAGAAATCCCTGGTCCTCCCTCAGGAGTTCCAGAGGGACCTGTAAAGTAAATAGATTAGATTAACATGAGAAAAAAAACGTACTACATAAAAATGCTGAAGTATTGCAATATAATAAAAATAATAAAAATTCAGTTCAAAAGCAAAACAAAATCTTCTGAAAGTACACACCTGCCGTTTGAGCAATGGATACCATAGTACAATGTCGCACAAGGGAAACCATAGTAGGCAAGACGTCCTTCCTTAATTCTTTTATTGCTGCAGCTACAAACATTCCTAAAGGAGGGGTGGGAGAAACCAAACACCAAATAAACAATACATTATAGATAGATAGATATTACAAATGGTGATAAAGGTTATTTTTTAATTACTGAATGATAAACAAAAAGACTACATATTTAACACAGTACCTGTAAGGGCAGTCTGATAAATCTGACGTGTCTGCTGATCAGCCATTTTGTATGGTGGACCCTGATTGGTTATTATGGGCCTGTCAGTAAACCTAATCAGTACAGAAATCAAATAATTACAGAAACATAATGAATAATAATTCTTATTAGATTATCAAAGAATTGTAAAATAAATAGAATCTTATCTACCCTTGATGGGAAAACAGCTGCTGCATTGACCTCATATCATCATCAACATGGAGACTGGCTACTAAAAAGCAGCGGATTACATCCCATGAAAGTCTTCGATAAAATGAGTCAGTATTGGAGTGTTTTAGTGCTCCTAGAGCAGATTCAATAACCTAAAATTTTATTCAAAAGTATACAAGTGGCATTAGCACAATGGATAGAAAAGTGAGACACATGATAACATTATTTCAATGCGACTACCTTTTCTACAGGAATTTCAACATGTTTACTGTACTCAGGGAAGGTGGCTACAATAGCTGGTCCTGGAGAATCCCTTGTACTGAATTCAAGTTTCTGTGGTTCAGTCATCATTTTCCTATTTCCTCCACCAAATTTCCCCAAAACTCTAAAAAATTGAAGAGTGTATTAATACAGAGCCATTGTGGTTAAATTGTTAAAAGCCTTAAAAAGAATGCAAAATTATTACCTGAAGGCTACATTTGCAACATTGTCAGTAGGGTTCCTTACAGTCCTCCACAGAGCTTGCATCAAATCTGCTCGCACAGGTTGTATGTGTTCATACAAAAAATCTGGTTGTAAATTATCTACACAAAGCTCCAATGTGCGCAATCCCTGATGAGGAAGTTGGACATATCAAGTGAGTTACTGTTAAATTAGAATTAAAAAAAACAACATATAAAGGTTATTAACCTGACTAATTAATGTTGGAGATCCATTCAATGCAGAAACCAAAGGGTCCATTAACTTGGGTAAGTATGGTAACAACGAACTTAGTCGAACTGGGACGGTTAGACAGAGCTCAACAAACAGATCTTTCATATGCTGTTTGTGATGAGAAGATTGCAGTGAGTTCAAACCCTGGAGAAGATCTGGCAATAATGGAAGGAATTCTTGATAGAGTAGGTCATGACTTCCTCCACCAATGGATCGGAACAAAGCTCTCAATAGCAAAAAATAGTTGTAAGGGTCTTTAGCTGTCATTGCTAACTCCATTGACCTGCAGATTCAAAATAGAGAAAAAGAATTCATAACAGAAACAACAACTGAATAGTTAAAATTTTGACATGACATTTATAAGATAGATAAGAGGGATGGATAGATATGTACCGGTTCACAATTTGGTGAAGATGTGGCTTCAGCATGTGTTCATTCTGAGCTGGGAAGAGTGAAACTGAACCAAAGACAAGTTTAAAAAGTCTCAGGTATAGACTGGATCTTTCAACGGTGCTGCCCATCTCAGCCATGTGCTGCAAAAGGTATTCAACAAGCACGGTGGCAAATATTGGTGATGTTGTTGGATTAGCAAGGAAAGAATTCCCAATAATTTGCAGGGCAAAATTATTATATATTCTATCAACCATGTAGTCAATAGTATTTGAGAAAATCTCCTGGAATGTCTGAGGATGCATCATAGAAAACTGAAACATAAAAGGGACGTTTTCGTGTAACTTTCAAAATTCTACATCAACAAAACAGATAGATAGATTTTAAAAATGTTAACGTACAACACCAGCAAAATGCTCCAGGACTTCCTTTTCTTCTTTTGTACGGACATTAGGTAAATTGATAGGTCTCTGAACACCAACAGGAACAGCAGCCATGCCTGGTGCTAATGGAAGTGTATATACATCAAGTGCTTGTAATGCCCATTTTACAAGTCGAATGAAAAGAAGAGTTTCCTTGGGTTGAAATGGCAAAAATGGGCGAGGAGCATTTCCCTCCACCGCAACACCCACTTGGGTGGACTTCAGAGGAAAAAATTTATCATTAGAAAACCATGGGTACAATATATCTGTCTTGCATTCAAAATTAACTCACCCTTAAAACAGCACAACCACAGGTTACTGTTTTCACTCCTCCAACCAATGTTTTGACCAAACTACGGCAATCTGCTACTGTATATGAGCTGGCCTGTGATACTGGAAAGCCAAACTTGGTTTTGTCTTTATCTGGATCAGGTTTAATGTTCAGACGAGCCCCTGAAAATAAAAATTTATCATATACCATTTGTATTACTTCAATGTTTTACTGTTAGATAACGAAGGATTGAACATTCACCATCTGCTAAATTAAGCAATGGATGTATCACAGGCTTCACATCAACACAAGGTGTTGAGGCAGTGGGAGTCCCTGGTGTAGAGGGTGCTGGAGGGCGAGTAGGAGTACCAGGTGCTTGCACTCCAGAATTTGCAACTGCTCCTAAGGTACCTTGTGAGCTTTGAGGAGCATTGGCTTTAACAGCCATACTAGAAGAGGAATATTATCACCATTACTCAGTGTGAGAAAGAATTTAACAAGAATATATGTGAGCATAACTTGGCAGAACTCACGTATTATTCCGAACTAGAACAGGCAGCTGCTGCTTAGCAATAGTTTTGAATTTTAGAACAAAAACCTCTAGCATTCGCATGAGAAGTTCACGAGATGTGGCACTTTGACTATCTGAGTCGCCCCGGAGGCGAATACAGTCAACCAAATTCAATAAAAGTTTGCACGACATGGTTTGGATTCTGAAAACCAGAATATGGTGAGAGAATAGGTAGAAATAAAATAAAAAGGTATTTTAAAACACAACACATCTTAAACAGTTCCAAATAATTAAAAACTTACGAAACAGGAAGTGTTTCATCGTGAACATTCATGGAAAAAATATGAACTGCCTTAGCTAGGTCAACCAATGACAAACGTTGCCGCACATGATGAACTACATCAGCAAGGACACTGTTGGCCAATGGACGAAGTGATTCATATGTGGTCCAACCTTTCCCAAGTAGAATATTTTCATCATACAGCTTTTCCATGACATGTACAAATTCTGTGAGCAAAACAAAGCCGACCATTAGCAATATGTAAAAAGTTTCCATCAATTTCAAGTTCTACAAAAAATTTCCATCATACCTAGACGTAGGTCAGTGTTTAAGATGTGACGTGCAGCTATAAGAAGATCTCTTCTAAGGTATGCCACTTCCATGGGGCAGTGAGAAAGCAGACCTAACATGCCTTTAACTAACAGGGGTGCTTCCCTTGTAACTTCACCCTGATAAATACGAGCCATATAAGCTAGAAATGACAATGTTTTGATTTGAGCTCCCATGAAGTCAACAAAAACTTCTTTATTGAAAGTTGGGCTCTCCCTGTTGAAAAAAATAATTTAGAAACAATTAAAGAACCTATAGAGTGTCCAGGTCCTGATACAATACCATTAAATTAAAGCATAAGTGTGTTTGTGTTACCTGACTTGGGGAGAAGGCTGAAGAGTTATAGTCCGCATTATAAGTGGAATGAATTCTGCTACATCTTGATGAACATTTTGCTTGTATAATTGATACATGATTACAACAATAATAGGTAGCTCTTGAAGAACTTTAAGAGAAAGAATAGCCTTTGGTATTAAATTGTACTGAAAGAAAATGTTTCATATTATTAGTTTTGATTTGATTTGGCATTAAATGTAAGGAATGTAGTAACTGATGTAATTAACACCTACTGATATGACTGATCCGTCTTGAGATTTTTTTTCACTTTGAATTGTGGTGGCAGTAAATGTTTCAGCAAGCAGATTTAGAAGGTTTATTTCATTAATATCTTTTACTCGCATAGGGGGCCGAGCCTCAAATATTTTATTCAGATGGGTAGGCAATAGTTTGTAGATATTCTTAACAAAGTTCAAAAACCGCTGAATCTAGAAAAACAAAAACAAAACAAAAAAACAATTAAATGAGGTAGATTACACTGGCAATAAAATTAAGATATAACCAGCAGATGGAAATTTTTTTATACTGCTCAGCAAAAATGCCCAAGCCTACTTCAGCTAAACATATTACAAAATTGAAACAGAACTAGAGAGAAAGCTTAAAGCGTTTGGTCAAATTTCAGAGCCTCTTCTTCATTTACTAGTGCCTCTACCTACTCATGAGAATGAGAATGTGTCAGAACTTTGAGACCTGCAGTGTCCGTGGCCTGCAGCAATTATTCCTCTTTAAATTGCTGTTTTAAATTTTTCAATACTTTATCCTAATCAAGTCACTTTCTGCCCCCCCCCTTTTTTTTCTGAGGGGGGGAATGATACAACTACTTTTTTATGCCCAGGAGTGTTTGCCGACCTGATATAATTTATTCACAGTAAAACAATTTTGAAAGCATACCTCAGGGTTGAATTGTGGTCTGAACTGTTTATGTAGTTCAATTATTATTCGTAGACAAACCAAAACATTTTCTTCATTATCTACTCTCATAAGATCCAACATCAATTTGATTATAGATTCAAGATGAGGGCGCAAATGCTCACGCTGATGGTCACTTGTTGGCAAACGATGAATCATCTCAAGCAGAAGCTTCCGAATTTGCTGGGGTAAAAAACCAAGTACAATACAAACCAATTGAAAATTTACAAAGACATTGATGTTGATGGTGGCTGGTCCAATTCGAATTTAATTATTACCTGAACATTGTACTCAGCAATGAAATGCGGCTCTCCTTCTTGGAGAATTTTTATGAATATTGGAAGAGTGTGGTCCAAAAATGTTGAATATTGTGATGAAGAAATTATTACCTAAGATAATTTTACAATAATATAGTGAACTAATCATTTGATGGATAAGATCATTAGGTTTACACTGTACAAACCTCAAAATTTTCACTTAGCTCTTGAGCAGCCTTTAATTTAATTTCTTCTTTTGCTTTGGGGTCACCCAGCATAGTTACAAAAGATCTATAGGTATTCATTTGAGTTTGAGGGTCTGTTGCCCCAGATGGAGTAGTCGAAGTTGGAGCCATTTTAAAAGTTGGAAAAAACTTGGTTTAATCTGGTGTATTAATTCCTTGATCCTAGAACAGAGATAATTACATATGAAAACATTAATAACACCATAGAAAAAGGTATTTACAAATTCCCTCAGTACAATTACAGTATTAAATATGATGTGCCAGGAAAGTCGAACAAAATACTAGAGCAGCGGCTGAACCAAGTTACTTGGCACCCAAAATTGAATATAAAAAAGTAATGAATGTTAACAGAAAAAGAAAATTACATATCTAAAACGAAGTGAAATGAAAGGCCCTTGCAGTGACATATCTTTGTGGAAGACTTGAGGTTAGCAGAAAAATAACACAACAGACCAGTACTACAACAGTTAGCAGTTAGGTTAACCGTCAGAGGTAAGTAGGAGGATCGGAGTAAGTTTGAAAGGAACAAATACGTAGCGTAAGTGTAGTTCAATAAACAAATTTCTTTGAAATTTGATAAAATACATAAAAAAGAAATGAAACATTTGCTAGTGATGTAAAGAAGAGGATTTGAACAACAGCTAATGGAGGGTTAAGGGCCGGCAACCGGCGCGAACACGGTGGTGAACACACTACGCGGTGAAATGAAATAGGTTGCAGTATTTACGCAACGGATTACCATTTTCCAAGGATCAATTATGAATCGTTCAAGTTCATTCTCTTGAAAACCATCACACACACAATGCAACTCAGGAACATAAACAGAGAACGCTGTCTTGGGTGCTTGAGGAAAGCGACTTGACAGTGTGGCACGTGGGAGATTTCAGGTCCAACTCCATTTCTCCCCTGTAACTCAATGTTGTTGTTTTTTTCCAATGGCGGGATAAATTTGTGTTGTTCGTGATTGTGTTACGTGATGTGGGCCTTTTCTCAAGACAAGGGTGCCTGGAGAAAGTGAGTATTTTCATGTTTGAGAAAAAGCCCCATATGTGTGAGGGTGATGGTGAGGGAGAGAGAGAACTTGGTAGAAAGTAGTAATTTTGGCCTTGGTGCGTTAAGGGTTTAATTCAGTTTGTAGAACAAGGCTCTTGAGTTCGCACGGGCTGTCTCTTAGAGAAAATAAAAGAATATTCAGCTTGACCCACCGCATTTTAATAACAATTTTGATACAACAATAAAAGCAAGTCACTGACAGTTAAAAAAAAAAATATGGCCCAATGGGTGCATATTACTAAAACATCAGGTTAAGACAAATTGCTAGCATCTGAAACAAGTAATACATGAACTTACAACCACTAACACATGAGAATATAAATATATGTGAATATAAAATAGGCAAGCTGAGCTGTTATCTCAAACTAATTCATCTTGAAAAAGAATTCATTCATTCAATAATGTGGCAGGGGATTGTGAGCTAGAGATGCTAAAGTTCTTCAGACTTATGTTGTAAAATATTCAAGATATGCAGAGATAATGGCAACATACATGTAGGTAATTCACACAAAACACAATTGTGGAATAGGTTTCTTGCAAAACACCAACATAAAAGAATGTGCAAGAGGAATAATTCACATGACTTACACAATCCAACATATCACACAACATAGAATAGTCACTTGGTAACTTAGAGCGCCTAAAAAAATACTTGAAGGGTGACTAATGGTAACCTGCAAAAAAAATTATTCCCAAAAGTGTGCAACAATGAAATTAACATTGAGCTAAGGTACTTGGAAGTAAGACAATTTGTACATTTGAAACCCGTCAAGCTCAATCAAAAGAACAAAACAAAAAAAGAGTGCAATTACAAATAAGATTCACTCTGAGATAGAGGCAACAGTCACTAAGTTCACAAAGGAGTTTATCACAAGACAGCTTAGCTGTTTACTATCTAAAAGACCTAAAGGAGATTAACAAGAATGCATGTCTCATGCAACATGCTAGATGGTTACTTTACATAGAAGTCTTTAGGGTGTGCAATGTGCAGTTGGATAGGACAATTTGTAGGTGTTTGAAAAAATGAATTTTTATCATAGGCTACTTTTTAAGCAATATTCACTGTTCAGCTAGCACATTAAAAATAAAAGAAAAACAAAGAGAGTTAGGCATAACATTAATACTGTCTAAAGAATAGTACCCTATTACAGTAGTAGAATGATTAACAAAAGAATGGTGTCCAGCAACATCAATGTAGTTCTGTTCTAGCAAGTCATCTTGAACAAACTCTTTTGTTCAAGAAGTCATAGCCTGTCTAAAGAATAGTACCCTATTACAGTAGTAGAATGATTAACAAAAGAATGGTGTCCAGCAACATCAATGTAGTTCTGTCGAAGCAAGTCATAGCCTGTCAACAGGATGATAATTTCATAAGGTGGTGGCAATAAGATTTGATTCAAATATAACATTTCATCACAATCTAGTAAAATTCTGGCCTAAAATGAAATGGACAGAATGCCTTGCATAGTTTGAAAAGACTTCTGCTCACTAGATGAAGGTAAAACAAGAGACATTGACATTACACACATATACAACACAATAGAAAAAATAAAACTGATATTGCTCATTAAATCATTTGAATTGCCATAACTCTGAAAAATTCACCCAATAGGGCCTTCATCAACAACATTACAAACATACGATAATCTACATAAAACTATTTATGTATTGAAATTGTTATGAAACTTGCTTACTGTGAGTTGAAATACACAGTGCTCCAGGTGGCATGTTTATGGGCTTGGCATAACCTTCAGCCTGTTAAAGGCTTCCTTCTCCAGGCTCTCCCTAACAGATGGATGAGCAATTTTTATCAGTTCGTAGGCGCGCTGACGCAGAGATTTACCAAAGAGAGACGCAATGCCTTGCTCAGTAACAACATATTGAACATGAGCGCGAGTTGTAACAACACCAGCACCTAAACAAAGGAAAAATATTGTCATGTAGAGGAAGTATTGAACAGAAAGACTTGGAAAAAGTCAAGATTAGGACATACCTTCCTTAATGTAAGGGACAATCTTGGAGATTCCCTTTGGGCTTATGGATGCCATGGCAATAATGGGTTTTCCTTTCCCATCATAGCCCTCACCAGCACCTCTAATGAAATCAACTTGACCTCCAAATCCTGACGATAGAAATAAGAAGTGACATTAATTCCAAAATCAATATTTTGTACATAAATGTTATAGTTAACCCTGCAATTAATTACTGACCTGAGTACATTCTTGTCCCAATAGAATCAGACACAACTTGACCAGTTAAATCAATTTCAATACCAGAATTAATTGCTGTCATCTTAGGATTGCGAGCAATCTGGTGCAATCCATTCACATACTGCACTTCCTTCATTTCTGAAAGAAAAGAGAGGAAATAAATAAAACTAAAATTACTAAGGGCCCATTTCAGATCTTTCGCAGAATCTTAAATTAAATTGACTGTGTAAAATCAATAAAATAAAGTATAACATCTCTCACCAATAAAAGGATTGTTGTCAACAAAATCGTACAGTTTCTTTGTTCCAATCAAGAAACTACCGATGATCTTGCCCTTGTTGTGAGTTTTGTTATTGTTTGTAACAGCACCTTTAGCAACCAAGTCTACAAGACCACCACTGAACATCTCAGAGTGTACACCTAGATCCTTGTGATTCCCCAGTTGACTAAGAACTGAATCAGGAATGTTGCCGATACCTAAAGAAAAAGATTAAAAATATTAAAGGAAATAAATAAATAAATAAAGGAACAAAACAAGAAATTAAAAAACAAAAAAACAATTAATCTACTTACCCATTTGTAATGTGGCACCATCTTCAACTAGATTCTCTGCAATGAGTTTGCCAATCTGAACCTCCTCAGGGGATGCAGGTTTTCCACCATGTTCTGGCAATGGTGAATCCACATTGACAGCGTAGTCAAAATGAGAGATATGGACCTGAGCATCTCCAAATGTTCTTGGCATGTGAGGGTTAATTTGAGCTAAAATTTAGAATTTAAAAAAGATTAGTCATGAATTAGATATAAAAATTCCATAAAGCAGGATAAATATAGACATAATAGATGTATTATACCAATAACTGTTTTAGAGTAAGACAGTCCAGCACGAACACAGTCAACACTGGTACCGAGGGAACAATAACCATGCTGATCAGGAGGAGACACCTGTGAAATAAAATTTCTAAGCTTAGTAGGTATTGTATTACAAGATTTTTGAATATTTTTTTTCCAACAAAAACAATACAGTGGTTGTTTCTATAAACGCGGAAATTCGATCCTGTATGTACAGTGCAGAGCTATAGTATGATAAGGGCAGGGCGGATGACCCTTGACCGAGTCCACAGTCCAACAAGACTGATTAGAGCCCTTATCAAATACCCAACAGACTTAATTTATATTGTTTTATTGGTCACTCATGCCATTCATGAATTATACTTGAAGATGATGCTTGCCAACAAATATCTCTAGAGGCTTTGCAGCACTAACTGTGTTCTATCTCCACCCCCACCTCTCAAGGCTCAAGGTCACCAATTCAGTGGACTGTAAGGCTGTCAAGCCCCTGAGCTCCACCTCATATGACCTTCAAGATCATGAATACTGATAAGACTGCTTAATTGGAAAACCTTTACTTTCAACAACTCAAATTTGAGAATAAGTGAGAGGAAATAAACTTACGTGAATCAAAGCAACATCCGGTTTCACAATGCCCTTGAAGAAAAGCAGCGGAATTTCCTTGAGGAAAATTGGAATAGTGTCAGAGCGCCCCTCAGCAACTGCTTTACGGACATTTCCAGCCATAAAAAATGACAAGGATCGGAAAATACCTGTAAATATTTAAACAAAAATAAAGAAAATTGCAATATGTATTTTCATAAAATAATAATTTTTTTGAAGTAAAAAATTAAAATGGAATTGATATAAATGTTAAGTCTATACATTTATATAGCATATACAGCATTGAATCATTGAAGTTATAAATTGTATTTTAAGCTTCATCAAAACAGAATGCTAAAAAGCTACTCTGCATTTCTTTTGGCTCATAGCCAAAACCCGAAGAGTATGGGTCAAATGATGGGATGAAGTAGGCAGAGACATGGTGGTGGGGTGAGGTGGGGTGGGGTAGGGTGATGCTTTGAAAGCAGATGTGAAGGAAGGTCAAATAAACACAGCAAAAATACCATGAGCTGAGTCTAAATATACAAGGAGAGCAGCATTTACAGTAATTTGAAATGCAAATACAGGGAATGCATAAATAGGCTTTCATTAATTTGTAATAGGATAAGAAACGGGTTTGAATAATTCACTAAACCAGCATTATTAACAGGCTACTACCAAATGTTGTACTCTACATACAGAAAAATGATAGATAGTAATACCAATAATGATAAGGTAGGAACACCAATGATAATGGGGTAGTAATTCCAATACAGATTGGTTTTGAGGCTTCGAAGGGAATTTGTTGAGGAGTTTCTTTCTAATCTTATTTTTCTTAACAGCCCGCATATGTACAGTATAGAGATACTCACCCTCACATTCTGGGTCAGTGTACCCAGCCTTGCCCTCTGTGTGCATATGACACACAGTGACCTTGCTGAGTTTGTTGGCCTTTCCATGCTCGGTCATGGCATTTACCAAATCAATGGGGGTGGAAGCAGCACCGCTAACGAACACAGTATCACCTACACAGAACAAAGAAAGCAACTTGATGGCAGCACTCAAAGGGAAGTATTTAAGATGACAAACATGATATCAGTGTTAATTGATTGACAGCGTGACCCCTCCTGAAGCCCACACCATTATCAGTAAGAGATATGGTATGAGTCTTCATTAGTCACATATTTTTCTCACTGCAGATAGAGTTTCAAATTCACAACTAGCGATACAACTTTAAAAATTCAAAAAATGAAAACTTTCATAAACAATGCAACCATTGATGAGCGTACGTTTTCATACAGAGAAAAAAAGGGAACAATAATGGTTTGAAGCTGGCATAAGTAAATGTCAGATTTATTAATGGGTAAGAAGGGCACAAGATATCACATGGCCTTGACATTCAATTTACTTCATGGGAGTCGTCTAGTGCAAGGACTCAAACCAAAAAGAGATTGCGACTCCAAGTGACTCCAAAGAATAATAGCCTAAGCACACAGTGGCACTAGTGATGGGATAAATGCAAAGTTTGTAACCTTACCAGATTTGATACACTTGACGGCATCTTCGGCTGACACATATTTAGGTACATTGTCAACGGGCTGAGAGGGCTCTTTGCTGTAGGTGAAATAATTCTTCGCAGTGGTGGGCGCAGCGACAGAACGGGTGGACACATTCGTCAGATTCGAGAGGAAAGAAGCCCCGATGCGAGCAGAAAATTTCTGCACACTTAAAACGCCTGCCATTTTTGACGAGCAAATCAGCCGTGTAGAAATCGAAAAACACGGTATTGATTGTTGAATACACGTCAACGCTCGGCCAGGAGTCCGCACAAATTCTCAAAGACGACAGGCAACAAGATCAAGTCGGTTCAGACGCCGACTTTCCGACGTCAGTCGCAAAGTTCGAATCGGTCAAAGATCAGCTTGCCGGAGGGAGGCCGGAGAGAGAGGGCTGCTTTGCAGTGACTGGCAGTGCACTCTTCCCCTACCCCCCGCGAACTAGTAGCCCCCCTCCCCTTTCCCCCATTTTCTCCCTTTCTACTTTCCTCAACGCTTCAAAACTTCTGAGTGACTGTGACTGCACATCCTGCACCCTGACCACTCCCAGTTTTATTATTTGGCGTTTCTTCTCCATTTTTATTAGTTTTTGATTTGACCGATTTGACAGATCAGATGAAATGGCAAATGGTTGGTGGGACTGGGGGCATGGATCACGTGACAATGGGCGGGGGCGGGAAGCATGGAAACTAGTAGAGTCTACGGTGAATAACAAATAAGCTTCTGCTTCTGCTGATCCGATTCTGCGTGCGGTGGCTCGGAAGATGAGTGTTATCATGTGCGATTCTGTCTGAGAACAAAAAATATCTGTTTTGGGCCGATTTTGAAATTTATCACTTTGAATCAATGCGCCATTTCAGGTTATTTACAGTAAGAGATCACAGCAACTGACAAAAGACATTCGTGCGGTGAATAGTGAATATGTTGGTATCGTTATGTGCAGTTATGTGACTGTGTTGTGACGGTCACGTCGTCACTCGTCACGTCGCTTGTGCTGCAGAAGTGAAAGCAGACCACAGCATTCATTCATATCTGCTAGATTACAAACCTGGGACTGTTTCTTTATTGCCTTCAGATTGATTCATTTTTGTGATATTTCATTTGCGTTACTTATAGCCGGTTAGCAATGGATCCAATCGTATTAGATTCTGACAAGTCTGCTAAGTCTTCAAGGGATGTTGATGTTGAAGATCCAAAATCTTTGGAGAATGGCGAATTATCTCAGCCGAGTACCAAAAAGAAAAACAGAAGAAAAGAAAGATCTCGTAAAAAGAAGTATGTACCTCATTTGTCTTAACGCTTCTCTGAAAAATCGAAAAAATCATATTTGTTCTCTCACTTTATGTCACATTATTGTGTAACTTTCCTATCCTCACTTTTGCCTTTTGCTGCTGCAGGTGAAATGTGTTTCTGGTTCCTCCGCCATTTTCATGTTTCTTTTCTCTTGCTTTTCCTTATTTTAGATTAACGTCCCTAGACAACCAAGCTGATGACATCTCTGGTCAAGTTGAATTGTTGAGTCTTCAAGATTCATTGCTCTCTTCCAATGGACCCAATACAAGTTTCACAGCATTTACACCATTTACACCTACAATCAGTGCTGAAAATCCGCTGGTTAACATTGCTGGGCTTGAAAGCAGTGTCTCATCACCAAGCAAGAAACGAAGTAAAAAGAAGAAGAATGTGGCTTTGGCATCTATAAAAAAACTCAGTGAATGTAATGGTGAATTGAAAGAAATATCATCTCCTGGCATCTCCGAATTTTTACCAGAAACGTCAGAAATCCCCCCTGTCATCCCAACTGACACAGTGAAAGTAAACCCGAGAAATAGAAGGAGGGCCAAGCCTGTTTCTGAATATAGCAGTGATTTTAATCATGAAAGTATTACAAATGTTTGTGATAGGAAAAGTTCTTCAAACCGCAAAGCTAAGCCTCAGGCCATGAAGCCAAAGCCTCAGCATTTTGAAAATTTTCCAAACTCCAGTCAAGTAAGGCAAAAGGTGTGGTTCTTCTTGTTCTCTCATTTTAGATTTTTCAAAAGCGTTTAATTAATGTATTTTGTTTAACTAACTCCTATTTCTTTGTTTTTTTTTTAGCAAGGAGGTACCGGATCGAGAAGTAGAACTAATAGAAGTTCTGAATCTATGTTGAATGAAAACAAGTTCGATGATCATTTCCAGCGAGAACTTGTGGAAGCTATGATGAAAAATCAAGCGAATGTGGTCAAAGGGTTTATCCGAATTAATCAAAGGAACTTTCGGGAGGCCTACATAAATAATCCAGATGGCTCACGAGATATTATAATTGATGGAGTTAAAGACCGTAACAGAGCACTTGAAGGTGATGAAGTGGCCGTACTTATTTTGCCTGAAAGCCAATGGAAAAACACTGATGGTATTCAGAAAGTAGGCAAAGTCATTTATATTTTGACCCAAGTTCATCATCGTCAAGCTGTTGGTAGCTTGAAGAAAATGCAAGACAATAACTCAAGAGTGGCCCTCTTCTCTCCTCGTGACTCACGAGTCCCTCGATTGCAAATACCAATGAAGGAGTGTCCTGGTAATCCTAAAGATTGGGAGAACTGCCTCTTTAATGCACGAATTGTTGAATGGAATGATGTGAGGTATGCCAAAGGACAGCTAATTGGAGATAGTTTTGGAGTTCAAGGAGATATCGAAGCGGAGACTCGAGCTATTCTACTGGAAAATGAGATTGATGGTGCTCCTTATGACAGAAGCTATCAAGTTTTTTTCCCTGAACCACCTTTTGTACCAACAGAAAATGATTTTAAAGGCAGAGAAGACTTAAGGAAGCTCTGTATTTTTACTATTGATCCGTCAACTGCAAAGGATTTAGATGATGCAGTTTCTTGTGAACAACTGGACAACGGCAATTTTAAAGTTGGAGTACATATATCTGATGTTACTTACTTTCTTAGAGAAGGGACACCTTTGGATAGAGAAGTTGCCAAGCGGGCAACAACAACATATCTGGTTCAAAGGGTAAGCACGCTGTTTATGATGCACATTAATTTATGTTTGGTACAAAGTGTCAGTTTAATTATATTATAACCGTCTTCAGGCTTATCATATGCTTCCAAGGGAGCTTACAATGATGTGCTCATTGTTACCAGGAGAAGACAAACTGGCATTTTCTGTATTTTGGGAAATGACTCCAGATGCGGAAGTAGTTTCTCACTATTTTACTCGGTCAGTGATTAACTCTTGTTCTCAGTTGGCTTACGAACATGCTCAGGTAACACCTCAATTTTCTTTTTCAAATGGTTTGCTAACTCCTATTTTGTCTAAATTCTACTAATTTTATTTTTTAAATGTAGGTAATGATTGATGATCCTAACTATCAGTGGAAAGAAGGTGAATTCCCTCCAATTTATGGTCCTTGGACAGTAGAGGATCTAAAGAAAGTAGTTCTGTCTCTTCAAAGTTTAGCAGCAATTATGCGAAAGCATAGATTTGATACTGGGGCTCTCAGAGTTGACCAAACTAAACTCATGTTTCATTTAGACTCGGCAGGCGAGCCAGAAAATTTTGCAGCCTACATCAACAAAGAAAGCCACAGGTTCAAGATTTAACTATTTCCTCATCATTTTGAGTAATCTTCTCTATTGTGGTTTATTTTTATCTAGTAAAATAATGTTTCTTGCTTAGGTTAATTGAAGAATTTATGCTCCTTGCAAATATGACTGTTGCAACAGCTCTGCAAAGTCGGTTTCCTAAGTTGTCTTTCCTACGATGCCATGATGAGCCTCAACCAGATATGCTGAAGAAGCTCGCAGATACTCTTGAAAAGTTTGGTATTGTGCTGGATATATCATCTGCTGGTTCTCTACATTCATCTCTACAACGATGCAAATCTGACAGCAATGATACTCGTTTCTTAGCACTTAATAGTCTTTGTTCTCGGCCAATGGTGGTGAGTACACTGTATTTTGATTTTTACTTCTATTTTGTTGTCTTTATTGAAATGCACTGAATGCAAACTATTTCTTTTTGATTCAGCGTGCCAGGTACTTCTGTGCTGCTTCGATTGATGATGTTCAGTACATGAAGCATTATGCTCTGAACGCACCCCTTTATACCCACTTTACATCCCCTATCAGAAGATATGCTGATGTGATGGTTCACCGTTTATTATCTGCACTCCTTGGATACAGTGATGAGCTAAAGTGGTCTGTGGACTACGTCAATAGGTAAGTGTAGTAATCCTGTTCAACATTTGAATAGCTTTTACATGATATAGATCTTTTTTTAACCCTCTAAATGTATTTTATGTATCATAAATGTGTATGTTTCTTATTCAGTATTGCTGCTAATTGCAACAAAATGAAGTTTTGTGCCAAGAAAGCAGGTGAACAAAGTAATGAACTTTTTCTGGCTTTGTGGGTGAGAAAGTATGGTAGCATTGTTGAAGAAGCTGTTGTTCTTGATGTTAAAGATCGGTCCTTTGATGCCTTAATTTGTTCAACTGGCAGTAATATACGTGTATACACAGATGTAAGTAATTTCATCTCATCTATCATTGCTTTTTAAAATTACTGAAACTAGCAAGAGATCTCATGGAATTGAACTATTATTTTACAGAAACTGTCTGCATCAGTTGAGTTTAAAAATGACTTTGTGCCTCAACTTTCAATTGTTTGGTCTATTGATGGCACCTCTCAACACTCTACCCAAATTGTCACCATGTTTAGTGTGGTGCGTGTGGCCCTTCGTGTCTCTAATACCAATCTTCTCAAGCTGGAAGCATCACTTCTTCCTCCTATTGAACAAAATTAACCTTCTTTTGCTTTCTTTTTCCTTAAATCATTTGTTTCAACTTTCTGAAAAAAAATTGTTACATTACTTTATTTTTTAAATATTGGTGTTGTTTTACATCTATGTTTGTTGTACAAACAATTTAATGATAGAGTTATTACAACACATTCTATTGAGTTTTATAGATTCCTATGAAATGTATTTATGTGCTGTGAGTAAGTTTTGCTCAGGCTGTGCCAAATGTTGCCACTGCCATTTCATCAAGCTTTTTTTGTTTGTTTAAAGTAGCTACAAAGCATAATTCCTTGTTCACCCTTCACTAGTAAAGTGTGACTTTTTTCGTGCCTTTTAATTTGAATGAATTTTGAGACAAATGTCATGTAACTGTAACTGTTTCCTTTATTATTTTGTCTTTCCTAGTCATGTTTTTGATAGTGGTTCTGTATGTTGAATGTGGGAATGACTGATGATAATGTTTTTTTCATTTCTCTTTAGTATATATTTTGTGTTAGGTAATGAATTACAGCTACCCTACAAGGTTATTTTTGTTTTAAATCTTTGATGATTAGCTGGAGGTTGTATACACAGTATGTAGTCTATATTAATTGACAATTACCAATACAGTTTTGTACTTTTTAACATTGTTTTTGCTTGCATGTTTTCATTAGGTCTTTGTGTATTTATCTATCAGTTTTTGTACAGGGCTGTTGTGTAACATATCCTAGTCCTGTATTTTTTTATATGAAGACTTCTATGGCTCAAATGCTGAATACATGATCTCTTATACCAAGGGTTTAATTCTTGTCTATTTTTGTCTTCCAGTGTGATATAATCTTAAATTAGGAAGACTGTTGTTACAGCCAAGTACAAATACATCTCAAGAGTATTTAGTTCTTGAGTTTGACTCCAATGTTGTTCACTACTCTACGTAGTTGTTTACTTCTTGTGTTGGGTAATACAAGTATTGTTCTGTATTCTTATCTCTGGTTTTGTTAATTTTGATTGAGATGTAATAATTACATTGACAATTGGGACGTTTCTGGTTAACTTAATGATTTTATTGATCCCATTTTCTGTATCTATGAAATTATATCTATTTAGTCACATGAGTTTCTGGTAAGAGATGGATTGGTGAAGCACAATTTTTGAAATTAATGTGTCTGTCTCTTACGAGATTCTTCAGTTTTCTTTTGTTTAATTTGTTTGTCAGAAATATTACCCATGAATGATTAAATCTTGACTATCAATTGTTATTGGTATGAGGGTTCTTCAAAACGAAATTTAAGTGTACAGTGACTCGTTCAGTGGTTGCTAGCATGAGAAAAAAATATCTTATTTATCCCTCAAGTTTTAGCGCTGACAATACTTTTCATTCTGTGTTCCTGAGGGTATGTTGTGATTATTATTTTCTTATAAAACTTGTGGTTACAAAGTCTTTTACTTAAACTTCATTCCTACCATATCTTCCTAGCGAGAAATCACACTAAAATAACGTCGTGTGTTGTGTTGAGCAATTAAAGGTTACACGTTGGTGACGTATGAAGCCCCACGCTTAAACCCCCGAGGGCTCCAAACGAAAAAGTGTTCCGATTTCGTCCTCATCCACAAATTGTGAGCCTTGCCCGTCGGAGCAAAGTTCATAATTCCCCGATTAATAGCTAAGCGAGGAGGAAAACAGCTACGCCACGGAGCGCCTGCAGCGCGCTGGGTAGGCCAACCCGCATAACAGCTGTGTAGAGCCGGCCATCGGCGAAGCCGGCAAGCAGCAAGGCTAGGCACAACGGCACAACGTGGGGTACCAACAAACCTTTACTTGAAACATTCCTTCGCGTCGCCGTGAGGAACGTGAATTGTGGGGACACATTTGCCACACATCAGTCTTTCTTATTGTTTTTCAAAGAATCGTAGTTCGCGCGCTCAGCTCAGATGTCGCGGTCGCAATCGTCTGTCAGCTGTCTGTTGTCAGCTGTTTGTCAGCTGTTGTAAACACACCTCTAGCAGCTGTATGTGAACTCTCAGATCGTAAAAGTGACCTATTTTCAAGATGTAAAACTAAGATTTATCTCTTTTAAGTAGAGCCTTACTGATCACGATCGCACGATCAGTCATTTAATATGTCGTCTCCATTGATAAACCTCTGTAACCCTGTCTTTAAGACTGTTGTCACATGCGACACGATAAGCAGTGAAGGTTACGAAGCCACCAATCTCGTGTCAGAAGACTGTCAAAAGAGAAAAAATGGATTTTTGAGTGACCGTTTCATTAAACCTCCAGTAGAAATCACATTGAAATTTCCATTTGATGTGAACATAAGATATATACAAGTTGGAGCAGTTGTGGGGCAACAGAAGTCAAGTGGTTTGGAATTCCATTCCTCCTCAGTACCCTACAACTCTTCCTTGTGTTCTGGATGCCCTGCAAACAAACAGTCTAAGGGTGGATTAATTTGCTCCCCTACTGCTGAGCGAATAGGTTCCATTGTTCTTAATGATAACGAGAGAGGAGTTATCTTTTTTTGTCCTTTACAATATGGTCGGCAAAATCCCAATCCAGTTCCCAATGTTGGACCAGATTTCATTCAAAGATCAATGATGTGGAAGAAGCGATCAGTAATTGCGCATACATCCTCATTAACTTTACGCATCTTTAAGACTTGTGGATCTTCTATACCTGCCATTAGCAGCATAGAAATATGGGGTGGCCCAAGCACATGCGTGCCTGCTAGCCAGGTTTCAGACATAATGAAGTTATGGAAATCATCACAGGAAGAATTGAAGTGTGAGGAAAATGAAGGTAGTCCATTATTTCTATTGATCTTTGCCTAGTTACAAGTTTTTGTGAAAAAAAATGTTATTTTGATTTGAACTAATTTACAAAAATCTTTTTCAGGCACTGCCATGCAAGATGTTCCCCTCTTTCCAGATATAACTGGTAGGAAGCTTCACGAGTCTGTGATTGGAGATATTCCTGACGAATTTTTTGATGCAATTACATGGGAAATTATGGCTTTGCCTATGGTGTTGCCGAGTGGAAAGGTTGTTGACCAACAAACATTAGACCTCCATGCTCAGGCAGAAGCTAATTGGGGTCGCCATCCAGGAGACCCATTTACCGGAATCATGTTTAGTGAAGGATGTCGACCTGTCTTGGATACAGCCCTCAAGGCTAGAATTGACCGCTTCTTAGTACTTAATCAAGACAGAAAAGACCTAAAAACAATTCCTCGGACAGTTGGCCGCGTCCAACCTCAGATTTGTCATCAAACTGTCAGTAGATTTCGGAATACACGTGTATGCTTTGATTCAGCTGCTGTCAATAGAAAACATTCTCTTACCAGAACTTCAAGTATTGTGTATTCTCAAGGAGAGAGGCAAGTCAGTGATTCAACACCTCCTCCTGTCAGCATCCCAAGCTGCAGCACTCATCCCAGACCAACTGAGCCAGACGACCAAACAGAGAGTCTAACAAAGAGACCTAAGTTATCTGATATGTCATGTGTTTCTTCAGTGAAAAGTAGTATTTCTGACATTGATCTCACTGTGGATGATACAACTGGTAATCATTTGGATAATCTTAAATCCCATGAGAAAAAACTAGATGATAGTTTAGACTCAGCACTGAAAGCAGTTTTATCAGGTCTACCATCATTTGTCAATATCCCTTCTCCTAAAAGTATTGTTAAAGAGTGTGCATCTTGTAAAATTCTAGCAAGTTTATATTGTTTACCATGCTCTCATTTTTTGTGTCGCCCATGTTTGGTAAAAGAAAACAAGCAGAAACCTTCCAATTGTCCATCTTGTCAAGTGGAGTTCAAATCTTCTGATCCTGTTTTCCATCATGATTGATATTGATGCCTCAAATACCCCACAAAGTACCCAATGAACCCTAAAGTTCAACAAATTTGGGAATTCCTGCTTTGTTGCAGATTTATAAAGCCCGTGCATGTGTTCTGAATCTCTTCTTGCCTTTTGAACGACAATTTTTCCCAAAAAATAAATCTGGTGGAGGACCTTGCTGTGTTGTTTTTAGTAAATTTATCTGTGATAATGTGTATTGAAAAATAGTTGAACTATTTTGTTATTATATATTCAAGAATAGACTGAAATACGTATTTTGTTTATCACAAAATGGTATATTTTCCTACTGATGGCTTATGTCACTTTATTATTTCGTCTGATGTGTTGTGTACTTCAAAACTCACAGCACAATTGAAATAAAGCAAGAGTTTATGAGTTATAATTCTTAACCATGTGTGCTAATTGTTATTTTATAGTTTGCATGGTCAACCAAAACACTGAAAAATCTGAGAGACCGGCCGGTAATTTCCAACAAACAGCAAAACGTCACGAAAGAGAGAGAGAGCGATTCCAGATTTTAATATAACTGGACTATAGATTAGTAAAATCGAGCATATTTCATATTTGAGAGAGCTTCGAATTAAAATTTAGGGATTGGCGTTAATTTTTCAAGTGGACGGAAGGAACCAGTGAGTGCGAGACTTGGGAGCCGCGCCGGACGCACCCGAGGGCACAAACACAGGGGTAAAGGGAAGACCAGCAGACTGATTCCGAAGAGACCTCAAGGAACGCTGCCTTATGAGTGCGACAAGGACGGAGATATACGGAAGGTATAGGAGAGGGTTCTTTGGAATCAGTCAGCAGAGCTCAGTCGTCTCAAGGCAGCAGGGAGGTACGCGTACAGAGGACTACTTGTCTTAGCTCGATATAGATAGCCTTAACCATCTGACTAGACTCGAAATTCACCCCCAAAACAGCGCGCGAAGCAGAGAGATGTCGGATGTCGGCTCGTGTTTTGTTACAGCGGCAATCCAGATCTTTATCAACGGGGAACAGCAGCGGCAGTCACCAATTTTGATCAAATCAGGAA